CACTGATAACATTGCTATGCAGGCGCTGGAGCACATCCACTCCAATGAGGTGATCATGACTATTGGCTACTCACGTACTGTTGAGGCATTCCTGAAGGAAGCTGCTCGCAAGAGGAAGTTCCAGGTCATTGTAGCGGAGTGTGCGCCGTTCTGCCAGGTAAGGCCCAGGCTGGCTGTCTTCAGGGGCTGCACTGCGCCGTGTGTTTTTACTGACCTCTTGTCTCTGGAGGCAAGCTGAGCATTATGGAAGTTCTTCTGCAGTTGAGAGACTGAAGACCACTCGTTGGCCTACTCCGTGTCCATCAGGGAAGGGCTCTGTTTGTGCTGTCACTCACTGTTTTTGCAGTTTAGACAAGAATTGAGTGTTAATGTCTCTACAGCTGCGCTGCAGGAGCTGTGTCCAGGGGACCAATTGGATCCTCCCTCTTTTTAGGGTCATGAAATGGCTGTCCGACTGTCTAAAGAGAACATTGAAACTACTGTCATGAGTGATGCAGCTATTTTTGCTGTCATGTCCCGAGTCAATAAGGTAAGAAGCACTCCGTTGGAGGAGGGAGTTCACAGCAGGCTGGGTGCTTGGGCATCCCAAACCAGCTGCAGGTCCCAGCAGTGGTGGATGCATTTCTTCACTGAAGACTCAAAATTGTAATAGTCCCTGCTTACAGCTGGGGTGGAGATTCGGTGCAGAAGCCCAAGTCAGTATGATGGTGACTAACTGCATGCTGATAGATTTTTCTGCCGTAGTGGCTAACAGGCAGCACAGTTACAAGACACTAAGCCACGAGAGCCTCAAAGGATTAGCCTCGGTTTTTAAAGAAAATAGAACACGAAGCAGCATTTCCAAAGGGGAGAAACCCGTTGCCTGGAACACAAGATGGGTGATGGAGGGAATCACCAAGGTGTGCCTTTGCGAACAGACTTTTCTTCTGTACTTTTATAGAGATGAAGACTTGGCACCCCAAACTAAAAACAAAAACAAACAAAGACAAAATAAAACAAATCCACCAACCACCACCAACCAAAAAGGTACTTGTAACATAATAAAATCCAGCCACACCATTTTACATTGAGATTGCAGCCAGCAATCAAGTTACTTGTACAAAGCTTACTTTTACAGGCTTGTAAAACAGCAGGGAACACAGCCCAGTTTCTGCTTGGTGTTCCCTGCAGTAGAACATACATTTGTCCTCTCAAGTTTTCCGTGCTGGCCTAACCATACTGGAGTCATGCTGTTGTTAGAGGGGAACACCTCGGTGCCTAGCCAGTGCCAGATGAAACAGATGAGGCATCCAGCTGCCCTGTAACTCCAGCCGCTGGCTGGCTGGCTGTTCTGACAGACTCCTCCTCCAGCTGATCTGGCAGCACCCAAGCCAGGAAGCTTTCCTTCCCCAGTTTGCTGTGGAATGTGTTAGCTAATGCTGATTTGCCTTTTAAGGTCATCATTGGTACAAAGACAATCCTGGCCAACGGCGCCCTGATTGCTGTGAGCGGGACACACACTCTGGCACTGGCAGCTAAACACCACTCCACTCCGCTCATCGTGTGTGCCCCCATGTTCAAGCTTTCACCACAGGTATGTACAGCAGCTCTGCAGGACTGCACCTGCTCTACATAGAGATGGGGGTGATTTTATCCTTATGGGAGATTACGTCGGAGAGTACCATCTGTCCCAAGGTGAGGCTGGTAAACTCGCCATCTCCCACATGGAGCACTGCTACTTCAGAGAGGAGATCCTCACCCATATCTGGCACACCTCAGGATCTCCTTGAAGCACCCTCCTCTGCCACACATGTTGAGTAAGCAGTGCATTGGGTATAAGGATGTAGACCACTGCCTAGTAGAGACTGACATCACCATAGTTACTGTTCGTCAGCCACAATGGATTTCAGTTTCTATGTTCAGCGTTGAAAGACCCTGTGTACTGACAGAGGTGGTAGACAGAAATGCTCTAAACTGTTTCTTAACACTCAGTATTTTTTCAGTATTGTCAGGTGAAGTTGCAGATGAGGAAATCCCTTCTTTGCTCCAGTTCCGTAGGCTTTGCAGAAGGGCAGCCAGGTCACAGAAGGCTGTAAAAGCCCTGAGGAAAAACCTTTCACTTGTTACAGAGGTTCTAGGCACAGGAGCTATGTAATCATTGTAGACAGATGTAGTGTCACCTGGCAAGTCATCTTCCTCTGCTTTAGTTCCTTCCAGTACCCAGGATATGTTTTCACTAGGATAACAAGGTGGTCTCTTTTTCATGACCTTTCTGTACTCTTTCTCCTTCAGTTCCCTAATGAAGAAGATTCATTCTACAAGTTTGTGTCACCGCAGGAAGTGCTGCCATTCACAGAAGGTACTGCTGCTGCTTTATACAGGCCAGTCAAGCTGCTCCAGGCTATAACTTTTCATATTATTTTTTTTCTGCAATAGGATCACAGAATGGTTTGGGTTGGAAAGGACCTGAAGTTTCTCTAGTTTTAACCCTCCCACCGCTGGCAGGGACACTCTCCATGTGACCCTCACGCAAATTTAAATGTAGGACTGTCCCGTAGCCCAAGACAGAAAATCCTTTCCTATTTTCTTACACAGGAAAAAAAAAGATGTTGGGAACCATTCTGTTTTATATGTAACTTTCTATTACAGAAAGTACAGAAAAAGGATTTCCTTTGAACACTATCTTTGCACTTTTGCTTCTCCTCTGAAATAGTGGTTTATTATAGGATTGTGACAATGGTGCCAGGCAGTTTCCTGTGGGACAGAACAGATGCCCAACAATGAAGGCTTCTGTTCTTTCCTACAACTCATGCTAACTTCTTGAAACTTGGTTATGAGAAACTTGGTTATGAGATAGATACTGGGTTGAAACCCAGTATCTTTGCAGTGGGCTTCCACACAAGCACCATCTTTAGAAAGGCATCAGGTCCCAAACCCGTTTTCAGACAGCAGTCTCTTTCAGAGCCCCATTTCTGTGTGACAAAGACTTTTGAAATGAAGATACCAGGTTTGGCAAAGGTTTTTCGGTTTGGACTTCTGAGCTTTTCTTTAAAGAATAACTTTGGCAGCATTGGAATTCTTGTGTTCTGATTAAATACTGGCATTTCTTTTGGCAGTTAGTAAATTGGGAGGATCTGGAGTTTTTATCAGCAAAACCTATCAAAAGAAGTGCTGCCATCCACCCAAGATTGCTGTGTACCTGTCATTCAGTGACATCAGTGAGGAAGTTGGAAAGTATTCAGGGAATTCCATCACTGACGGCAGGGTGGCATATGCATAGCCAGTTTCTTCAGGGACTCAGGAAGATGTGCAGAAGGCTGAATGTTGCTTTGAGTTGTTCTGCCTAATGTTGCTGCTGTTCACTTTACAGGGGAGATCCTGGCAAAGATCAACGTTCACTGCCCAGTGTTTGACTACGTCCCTCCAGAGCTCATTACTCTCTTCATTTCTAACATTGGGGGTAACGCACCTTCCTACATCTACCGCCTCATGAGTGAGCTCTACCATCCAGATGACTACGAACTCTAATACCATGAAGCATGTCAGTCTCCAGACTCTTCCTGTCTTTCTCTTTAGAAAGATACAACAGCTAATTAAAGTGTACATTGCAAAGACGTGCTGCTGTGAGGAATTTGCTCAGCAATGTCCTTCCTACCCAAAAGCAACAGAAGGCAGAACTCTCGCACAGATTTTGATCTGTACTGTGCTAAAAGCCACGTGGAGCTCCTAAAACCCAATTCCATTTTGAAACAGCAAGGCCTACGTGTAACTGGAGCATCTAACCTGTTACTTCAAAATATGCTGTGATAAAGGTTGTTTACAGTGTTTAGCCTATTTTCCATATTTGTTTCTTTAACTAACAGGCATTTTACCAGTGTAGTGAGTTGCCTGCACCCATGATGCAGTAGCAGGCTTTAAAGTGTGCATTCACATACGAGTGTGATATGAATCCATTGGCAATTGTCTTGAAAAGGGATTTTGTGGGTAGATTTTTCTGACAATTTTTGGTGAGTTGCTGAAATACAGACCAGCTTTTTGTAAATGCTGGAATGGAAATTCCATTCATGATGAAAGGCGGACCTTGAGAAGTTCCATCAGCCAGCGTGTTCACCTCTATGTTGGAAGGCAGAGCCCAAGCGCTTGATTCACTGATTGTAGTCTGGGCATCTTTCCTCTCCTGTACTAATTGGGTAACTGTGATTAATCTTCCTAGGTGGGCACCTGGTCTTACTTGGGAAGTTTTTTATTTTTGTGATAGGAAGCATGGAACATCTTAGAAATATCAGGCTCTTGCAGGTCAGTCAGATCGCTTTTCCTTAGTCCCTTTTATCAGTGCATGCCAATACACCACAAGACAGTAAAGGCATCAAATGAAAGCAGTTTCCACTCCTTGTTTTGCTTTTCATTGAGCAGGTGTCAGTATATCTCTGATTTGGTTTTAAGTTGGATGTCTGTGATTAAACAAAGACATAATCTTTTTCTGTTTTGAAATGAACTCTACTCCTCTACCTTAGACTGAGACAGTAAAAAGAGCTGAACCTGTAAAAAAAAAAGTCTGCCTGTTGTAAAAAATGCCATGGGCTATTTAGTTCCTTCTGTGGAGTAAGTTTCTGTACCCTCAGAAGATGGGGCTGTGCTAGGATTTAGAAATCTCTTAAGAATGCAGACTGCAGGGAGCTGGAGAGAATGGCTGGGTGTGTCATTCATTGCCTAGTTAAATAAAAAGAATGTTTTCTGATCCTAAGGTGGCCTACACATAGTGTGAAGCTGGTCAGTCTTCATTCCAACTACTGCCATGAGCCCAAGGAAAGAGCTTTGTATTAATTTTATTAATAAATACCTCCCCATTTTCAAAACACTATAAAATAAAGTCTCTCTTATACAGAACTGTGCTGCATTTGCAGACAAAAAGAAAAGCACTTTAGTAACTGTGAATGGTTGTAACTTCTTATATCAAGCACTGATATAAGGTGCTGGCTTATGATGCAACTCCTTGATGTGAGGACACTTCTTCAGGCTCCTCCTGTCATGTTCTCCTGGCTGGTCTCTGCTGCTTACGTCAGTACTTTGAGCAGAACTTCAGTGACTGCACTGGCTCAGAAACTTGGCTCCCCACAGGGCATTGAGGTCTAACAACAGGGGACCAGGCTCATACCAACAACAATAGCAGGTGGTTGCAGCTTACAGTCTGCTTTTTTTGATTAGGCTCTTTTTTTTCCAAAGAGGTGCCATGCTCGTGCCATCTTCCGCAGTCTAGCCAGGTTGGGCTTGGGCTGGAGGGAGGAAAATTAAGAAGCATTAAATCATAACCAAGTAAATGAGCTTCAATGCTTTCATACTCTTTGCCCTAATAGAGTAATTTCTGAGGGTTTTTAATAATCTAATTCAAAGTCCCACCTGACTTTCAAAAGAATTTATAACTTACTATAGCACAGTAATAGCAAAAGGGAAGGAGTAACAACTTTTTTATGTTGCTATTTTTTCTTTTTTTTCCCCCCATTTCATAGCATCTTAAACTTTGGGGAAGTAGGTGTTTGTTTAATTAGCATCTTTCTTTGCCACTAGTAGAGTATCAGAATTTATGTTTTCCAAGTTTTACACTTAAAGCCTGCTAACACTTTAAGTATTTGATTAAGATTAGTGGATGCCATTCAAGTCAATGTACTATTCAAATGCAACATGGTAAGATCCTTGCTAAAGTATTTGCAGGACAGAGGTTTTATGTCCTGAAGTTTTATTTTATAGATAACAGCTGTGTAAAATATTCAAGTAAGGTAAAGCCAATGGTGATGGTTTCAGACTGGCCCATTCTAGTTCCAACACATGTATACATGACATGCCTCTGCTAATCCAGAGTGCGGATTATCAGAGGTGTATCTGTGTCCTGCACAGTACCTGCTTGTCCTGCTGTAGATGTTCTGTGTCTGCAAGAGGCATCATGGAAGGTCTTCCATGAGCACACTGGAAGGGAAGCTGGCAAGATGACAAAGCTTCAATAAGCCTGCAGCTCTCCTCCAAAGTCAAATGCTCATTGAACTTGATAGCACCTGAAAAAAAAGATACAAATTCTTGCAGGCGCTGCCAAAGAGGATGCAAACCTCCAGCAGCCTTCCCTCCACACTGTGCTCTTCACAGAAAACAAGGCAGCTCCCAAAGATTACCTGGGAAGCTGCAGTATGGCAGACTGCTGGCTCAGCAAAATTAACCAGCCTGCTGTGTAAGTATCAGCTTGCTATGGCCTAAACTTTCACCTAACCCAGGTCTGATGGATGGTAAGATTTTCTTTTCTTCTTGTTTTTAATTGTGTGTGTGTTATGGCTAAAGACACAACCAGTTCACAAGAAGTATGAAACCAAGATGATGGCTAACATCAATTCCATAGGTTTTACTGGTTCTATGGGCCAGCCACTGACAGGCATCAATTCCAAGATCGAATGCTAGCCCTGCCAATAAATCCTTTCTTACAAGTGAGCAATTAATGGCATCCAGAGGAAACCCAAACAGAACATTAAAGAGTCATTTCAGACAGTTTTGCAGTCTTTAGCCTTCACTGACACACAAGACCATCTGCCTTTCAGCCATGGGACTTTCTTAGATAAAAATGTTAATATATTTCATATTTTATATATTACCTGCCATTTGTAGGATACAGTGAAAATAGATGCTTTTGGCTTATGTTTACCCCTTCAGCATAATCTTGTTAATACTTTATATGGCACAGGAACTGCCACAAGAGGCTAGAGCTACTGCAGCCTACACCTGTAAGAAGTGCTCACTTCCAGGTGCTGGAAAGGCATAGTCCCTTAGAAGATGTAAATTCTTACCGCACTTCTTCCAAAAATACTTTAAAGATGCCAGGCCCACTTAAACCAGTACTTTTGATACTTACATGAAATAAAAAATATTTTTTGGGGTAGAGTGTCTAAGTCTTCTTTCCTGCTTGCTTTCAAGCAGATTCCAACACCTCCCCTTGCCCCTTCACAGAGCTGTTATTGGAAGGGTTCAGAGCTCACATGGATGAGTGCATCTCTGAACTTTATTTGTGTTTCATGTGAGGGCTGGAAATCACATTAGGCCCATACATGGATAAATCAAAGCAATACTGCTTGTCCCTCACAGTGCTGGCCATAACATTATCTCTTCATCACTATGTAGACATCCCTACATAGTCTGTAATCCTGGAATTCCTGAAAATACATCTGAAACCACTTCCCCAGGGAGGATGGTGTGTAGAGAAAAAAAGGGTTAAAAGAAAAAAAGAGAAGAAAAGTATAGTTTCCCTACCATGACAGGCCTGGGAAGCTAACACCTTCAGAAACGTCAGAGGCAGTATCCCTTGTGTTCTTCCTCCTGTGCTCTGCACTAGCTAAAAGTAAGGGAACATCATCTTACTTTCCATTTAATATAAGAAAAAGGAAGAACTGTAACACAAAGGAAACTAAAATTGAGGAAAAGCTAGTGGATTCCATCTCTCTCATTTGAGTCTTAACACACTTGGTCCCTTTGGTTCATGCAGTAAACTTTGCATTATTATACCCAACTCGAAAAAAGAATGGCAACTCACCTCAACCTGCTCTTGAATAAGCTCCTGGAAAGAAAAAAGTAGTATCATCAGTTGCTATTTCTCTCTTTCATTGCCCATACCCTGCTTTGCCCTCATCTGTATGTAATTTACTGTGTAGCTGCCAAAACCAGGAAAAAATACGCTGTTGAGAGTACACTGACCACAGCATGAAAGATCTAGGTGCAAGTCCTGACCTCTCACAAGTATCTTATCAGACTTTACACTAATCACTTGGTTCCTCTCTGCACAAGTTTCCTATCTGTAGAATGGATATAATGGAACTCTTAGGCAATGAATTTGTTATCTCTGAATAGCTGCACTTTCTCCTTTGGATAATAGTCTACGTGGATCCAATTTCTGGTGTCTAAAATGCAATGAATTCATAATCAATCATGAATATGTCCTACTAGTCCTAATTAAAATAAAACAGACTGCAGAACAGATCTGCCAAAATGCTCATGAGATCTTGAGGCATCAGCTAAGAACGAATGCTCGTGAGGCACAGACCTGATCCCCTCCTCCACCACTTTTAGTGCTCTTGGCTCCCAAATCACACCAAAAGAGTGAATTTTGAGTTCTTCCCAATTGTAAGAAGGCTGGAAAAGAAAATGTCATCTTCTTTTGTTTCTTCTTTTCATATTAAAAGAGATGTATGGCAAGACTGGCCTGGTTCACAATGGCTCAGCCTGGTGGCTGATTATGGTACTCCAGGAACAATTTTTAAGCAGTCCTTGAAGCAGTTATGATTGTGGAGAACTGTTTGCAGTGGAAACTGCAAGTAATCAGTTCAGCAATTTCTTCCTCTGACTTCAGAACATCTGGGAGAGAGCTTTTAGAAAGCTGCACTGTGAATGTAGATTTCAGGAAAACAACTTTAAACCCTAACAAACAACATTTCTGTATCAGCAACATTAATCATTACACCATTCAAGCATTCATGAGCTGTAAATTGTTGGAACATCTGTACTACATACTCTTTTTCTTAGCTTTTCCACTAGTCCAAGTCTGGAACAACTTCCTATTGCTTCTTTAGAGTTCAGAGATTTCAGTTGAAGGACTGTTTAGCTACTTAAAAGGGATGGCACCCACATTTGCCAAGGGACTTCATCCATTGTCTCCCTCATAACAGAGATACTCTAATACCCTGGGCCATTAATACAGAAAAAGACCCAGTAACACAATTTCACCCGTATCAACAACTGACCTCTACAATGCTTTTAGTGACAGGTTGTCTTTTCCGTCGTAATTCATTGGCTTCTCTTTCTATAAAACACAGTGGCACCTTCCTCACTAGAATCGAGGACCTGTTGGTCTCAGGAAATGATAATTCAAGACCCAAGTCCTCCAAATTTCTGTAGCAGCATCTGAGGAAAAAAAAATAATCAGGAAAGATAAATCAACCACCGCAGCTCTGTCTCCACGGCATACATAAGTATTTCTGTAGTCCACATACATGTTTCTTCTTGTAACAGTTTCCAATCTCAAAATCCATCCATCATGAGGTTCTAGTAATTCTGCCCTTTTAGCCTACATGCAGCCACATTTTTTCACTCCAGTCAACTGGAATACTTCATATTCCACAACCACAAGATCTAAGATTTCCTGTGTTATGTGAAGAGAAACTTTATGTCTAAACTTCTAAATCTATCTTTTCGAAAGATGCATGAGGGGTCTGGTTCAATACACAAACATTCCAAACACTGAAATTACACAGCAAAAAGATTCCTTTAAGTCTAACCTAAAAATTTGTGATTTCAACTGACATCAATAACAAATTCTTACATCAATTCAGTAACAAACACTTACAATGAAAAAAATATTGTAAGAAATTTATGATGGTTTAATGAACTTTACATCCCATTAAGCAAAGAGAACCCAGGAAAGAACGACCTTTACTTAACCTGACATGTCATCCTGTGGATGGAAAAATACACACAAAACCAGGACTTTACTGTCAGATGAGAACTTGCCTTCAAAATGAAAACAACTGTAACACTACATAGTTTATTAACTCAGGGAATAGTCACTTAAATCAGAGGTGCTGAAGGTCAATTTCAGAGAACAGGTTCGTTGAATAAAAAAGAAGCTAATTTACACTTACTAAAGTCAGTCATGAGAATGATACAATTATTAGCCTCCATATGGAGATGACTTGTGCAATTCCACCGCAAAAAAGGAAAATCGTAGAGCCTTCAGCAAGAGCAGAGAAAGGCAGAAAAAGCCCATCGTGGTGACAGAATCCAAGCAGCCATTCAAGTCAAACAGGCTTTTTTGTTGGGTTTTTTTTTCTTTTTAAGAGGTTAAAGAAAGGAAGTTCAAGAGAGTCACCAGAACAATGCTTAGCAGACAAATAACAGAAGCAAAGCTGCAGGTGAACCAGAGGTTCAGCTGACCTATTAGACAGCAAGTATAGCTGAAGAGAAAGGTCATTTGGGGAAGTTAATTTATCTCAACTTTACCACAGAACACAATCATGCTCTGCCAACACAATAACAGAATTCTTATTTTTACACAGTACTCCATAACTTTTTAGTAAGGATAATCTCACAGAGTGATTGCGAAGAGATGAGCTGCCAATAACCACTGACAAATTGGAAGAGCAGCACATTAAAAGCACCAGTAAACCAGCATCAGTATATGGGAGCACCAGTAATCCTCTTGCATCACCTTGGGTGATAACTGAAAATCACAAGTGGCATCCACTGTGCTGAATAATTCAAGCAGTGTCCTTAAAAGAAATCCATGCCTCTCATTTTCTTTATAGTACTGATTTTCATAGTATGTTTGTGATTTAGCTGATGAAGAAAACTAGCTCACACAAACTATTTGGTCTTTCAAATAAAGACCTCTTAAAAGCAGCTAGAAATGCAAATGCAAAAAGTCGTTGTGGATAAAGAAGTAACATTTGTCATGAGACTACAGAAGAAAAGATATGCTGGCAAAAGAGGTCAGTGTTCAACATGACATGAGTCCTGATCTGTATCTCCATAATTGTTTATTAATGATGTAGGAAAGAAGGGACATGGTCAAGCAGAAAATTACTTAGGTCAGCTGAGAATAAAGCCAATGTTGAACTCAATCAGAACATAAAACAAGCAGAAAAATGGTGAAGGAAATCAGTAGAACAAATGAAAAAGCTATAATGAAAAATAGAAAAACTGAATTCACTGCTCCCAAAGGCAAATAAATGTAAACTATTAGGAATAATTTAATTTCTTTGTATATTTTGTTGGCTTCTACATAAAGAGCAATAATAATAATAATTAAAAGAAGACAATTCTTTAATTGTCACGACCATTCAATAAACAAGCAGCTCATGCAAGCAGCAGTAACCAAAAAAGCAGTCAAAATATCAGGTGTTGATATTTTAGACAGAAAATATGGGCACAACTGCAAAGCTCCGGTGCAAATCAATGGGATGCCCTCACTTGGTATACTGAATTAAAGTTTGGCCATCCAGTCTCAAGCATAGATATCAAAAATGAGACATTCAAAGATGAGTGCAAAAATAATTCATGATCAAGAGGCATTACAAATTTTGTGAGGTTAACAAGAACATCATTAAGAGGTGGGAAGAACAAAGGCATTCAAATATTACTATGAACAGCAATAGATACATTCTTACATTTTTCCCTAGGGCAGGTGGAACATATTGGTGCTTTACACTTTCCTTTCGAATTTCTGGTATTGGTCACTATAAAACAAATATACCAAATGGATACAGAAGTGATACTGTTATGACTGGAATACACCCAAAAAAGACTTTACACAAACAAGTGTATCCCTATAAGAGGCAACAATCTTAACAAGGAGTGACTTAAAAGCTGCTTAGTTTGCCACAGGCATAACAAACGAGCAGGTTTAGAATAATAAAGTAGTCCTGTGAACATTAAGATGGAGCCTCACCTGAAAATGAAGAATAATGCAAGGGAAAAAAAACCTCACAAATGCACATGACAGATGAGACAGGGATTTTAGGAAAAAAGTTTGATTAGCGTCCAATAGGTCTGCGATAATCCAACAACAAACTATCTAAACTCTTTCAGTACAAAACTTAAGTATCTTAATAGTTGCTAGGCCACCATTCTGAAACATTTGGGAAACAGTGTTCATTAGTTACTCTTGGCAGGTACCTAGGATTAAGGAATGCATTTTTGAAGGATTGACAATACAAACTTTCCATAGCCCATCTTTCTTTTCTCAAACACTGCCTGTTAAATCAGTGACTAGATTGTCACTATGGGCACTGCATTCCAGCGCACACTCCCAAGTCCTGAGCCCCAGACAGAAGCATCTACTGGAGACAGCTTTGGCCCTCTTCTGGCCCTCGTGAAGGTTTCCTTTCTCAGGGAAACCACAGCATATTGAGGTACAGAAATGGCACCCCACATGGTTTTGTCATGAGATGTTGTAACAAGTGTGCTTGAGAAGCACATCTATTTTCCCCAGCACAGATAAAGCTAACTGGTCTCAACTCAGGAAAGAGTCAACAGCTACTTTCCCAACAGCTTTATGCTAACTTAGCAGTATACAGAGATCTTCCTGGTCAAGAGACCATCCCCAAAACTTTAGAGCCACTGGCCATTACTAACCGTAGAACTCTTCTTTGCTCTTCTGTAACTTTGATCTCCAAAGGGGGAGAGATGGAGGAAGACAGTAATTTCTTCTTGCCACATGCTGCAGCTTCCTTCTCATAGGAATCTGTGAATGAATCATTTAGAAGTATCCCCTCTTAGAATATTTACGCAGGCATTACCCTTAATGACCCTACGGTTTGGCAGTAATCCTCTGTTTGGATTAAAAAGTGACCACAGAATGCCTTGCCCTGAAACTTGCGGAGGACTGGGAATGTCACAAACTAGACATCTAGTCTCTGGGGAAGGGTTGGTTAATGCCACTTTGTTTTTTCCCACCAGTTCCAAAAAAGAGTGACCCTAAATAGCAAAAAACCTACTGATATATTTAGTCCAACTCACAGAGAGCAATTTTTCCACAGAAAAGTCTGATATAAATGGCATTAAAATACTATTCATTAAGCATTTCTTCCTCCAGTCTTTAACTTTTTTTCAGTACCTGACCAAAAGGAGCAGAGCTCTGGGAACCCTCTCTGCAGGAACTGTGCAGTATTTGTTGATGAAAGAGAAGGTCAATGATTTTTAAGTACTTGATGGATGACTATTGTGCTTTTTAACACTGAAACCAATGGCTAATGAGCTCACAGAGAAGACTATTATCCCTCTGCAAACAGTTTCGGATTGTGGAAATTTTAGGCTTTGAGCACAGTATTCAGCTAAAAAGGAACCAAATGAACTATGCTCTTTACTCTGCATACCATGTCTTATTCTTCACAGCATAACCACATAATCTTATTGATGTTGCTCTGTTTCCTCTTCATTGTTTTTCCTATCAGTCTTCCTGCTCTTTCATTACGTCAGGACTATTTTAGTTTGATAGTTCTGTGGGTAAGAACAGTATCTTCTAATTCTGGAAACACTGTAACAATTCTCAGCTGCCAATACTATGCCTGCTACAGATACTGAATGTCTGCACGCTCCTAGGGATCAGGATAAAGATGACAAATGAATACCCTATTGGTTCCTTATATTCCAGATGGCTCATATATACTTTTCCGTGCACCAATTATCTTTTTTCCCTAAGACAATCTGAATCCTCACCTGCAATAAGCTGCTCCAAACGTATCCGTTCATGAGCTGCATGTTGGTCCACCAAAATCAAAAGGTTTCCATCTAAAAATGTACCACAACAGATGAGAAATAGGCAACTTCGTAGCAGACAACTGCACAGGTCAGGAAGAGTAACTGCTCCCTAGAGGCCACATTTAGAAGACAACTATCAGCCAGTTTTCCAGAAATAAAGTGAAGAGGAAGCTGTGTTGGCAGAACGTAAAGTCACTCACTACAGAAATGAAATGTAGTGATCTAAACTGGCATTTAAATTAAGGTAATTAGATTGAGTCAGGAACTCTTGTCTATTGACATGTTCATCTAACTTCAGAATGAGACCTGAAGTTACCGACAAATGGGTCTGTTTAACACAATCTTTAAAATGTTACAAAACCTACTGGTTTTGAATGCCTTTTTTTGTACAGCTTCAGTAAGCTTCAACAATGAATATGTCCAGATACTGTGAGCAGTCTGAAAGATATCCATGATTTAGGTACAATCTATTTTTATAACACTAATCTGAAGGCACTAGGAACATTCAACAATGTCCAAAATAAAGATAAAGAAGATCCAGGAAATTTCAAATGAAGACTAACATTTTCTCTACTCATAATATCATCCCAAGGCAAGAAGAGAATAGAAACAAGGACAGGGCTCTCTCTGCAGTCTAACTGAGCTTGACAGAAACCTCAACTTCATGTCAATAACCACTCTCACCTGCCTCTTTATCCATTTCATTTCTAGTGTTGATTAAACAAGCGATAAATTTATTGTCCACTTGCTGAAGAACCTGTAAGATACTCAGAAAAATCATTACCCAGTGGTAAACCATTTTTTAAATGAAGGTAAACAAAAGAAGATGACGATCAAAATGGATGAAGTGCAATGAAGAGCTAATAGGATGATTAGGAGAGTGGAAACCACAGCTTTTTTAATCACTAAAGAATTTGGCCTAGCAAAACTGAGACTGAGAAGGTATGTAATTATTCTTTATAAACAGTGGGGGGAACAACATGGAAAAGGCAGTAATTATTTAAGTTAAAAGACAATACTGGCAGACAGTCAAATGACCATAAACTGGTCATGAAACAGTTTAGTCTGGAGCTAAGAGAAAGCTTCAAATATCCAGTAAAATAATCTTGTATTTTTTTTAAATTTTTTTTTCCGAAGAGAACCATAAAGGAAAGCCCTCTAATAATTCTAAGCTAGAGCTGGAAATTCACAGAACAGATTAAGTGGTCATGTAGAAGCCTCCTTGAGCTGTGTTAAAGCCATGCAAAACGACTCTGAGTATCTGATTTGCTGGTATCACCAAAAGAGAATGTAAACAACCCTTTTAACCTGATACGTCTTTAAGGACCTGAACTAATCATCTGTAGGAGCCAGGAAGCATTTTTCAACCCCCCTCATTTTCTGATGTAGAATTTGCCCCTGTGACTTGATTCCTCCTTCCCCTCAAGCATCAGAAATAAACCAGAGCTACAGGGAATACTGAGCAGGGATGCACAATGCTTTCAGTATCTTATTGCTAGATTTAAGTCAATAGATGTGGGAGGAATTTCTCCTCAAGTCACGTAGTTAGAGCTCACTCTGAATTCTCTGTCTCACAACATGTGTATTGTTCACCTTCTAGGTAAAAATGAATAGATGATCCTATTTCTTTGCAGGGATGGAAGATGCTAATGATTCTTTTTATTCTTTTCCTGTAGCATGATGCAACATTTTTTGCTTTTGATCTTTTGAGAGATTCTCAAATTTGCTATAGGGTATTGGAGGCAGTATTTAGCTTCTTCAGATAAGGGAAGTGGTAATTTCTTCTAGGTTTACCTTCTTAAAAACATACAAAGGAAAACATTACACAAAGTAAAGTTAATCACAGAACCACTCAGTAAGTTTTAAAAAACAGTTCTTATGAGTGCACAGAAAAATGGTACCTTCTATTTCCTAGCTTTCCTCTTCTGTTTTTGTGAAACATAACCTGTTTACTGTAATAACATTATTTATTCCTGTTATTCTTACACACACAACATAAGTAAGGGAATCATTTGGATCCATGTTCACCCTTGCGATCAGCATTACCATACCCCACATAGTCAGAACCTGCAATCGCAAGGTCAGCAGCCTGACTGCAAGAGAATATTGCTGACTGGGCCTGCAGCCTTCTGTCATGGAGATGCAAGACGGGAAGAATCCACTTCAGCATTTCTATCCAGGCAAACCATCAAAGAATGTAAGTTGAAGCTAGCCATTTACATCAGTTTTCAAGCTAACATTTAAAACATTTTATAAAGAAGCACTTAAAACAGTTAAGCTTCATATTCTGATGCCATTTTTAAGAATCACTTTTGAGGGCAGACATAAATATTAAAGTAGAATTTCAAGTCTTCCCATGAAATCTGGGATTTGCTTTTGAAATCACTCTGCTGAAGAATTAAATTTCTAAGGTCAATAAAGGTGGAGGATACAGAAAACAGATTTCAGAAGAATACAAACTATGCAAATGCCTACATTAAATATAAAAAACTGCCCACTGAAATATCATTTAGTTAACATTGTTTCTAAGCAGTGGTAAGAGGGCTGCCTCTTGATCTGATTTAACCCTACAGTCAAGGAATTTTAGAGTCACTTGCAGGTAGCAAGTGATCAACCATGAGATGATACTAAGATCTGACATGACATATGTGTCTGCTGTTATCACACAGCAACCAAAATTGCCATTTGTGCTTGTGAAAATTAAGGATACTATTTCCCTGGATACCTCTTTCCCACCAGTAAGAAACATTAGTAAATCAGGGAATTTGCAGGTGAAAAGTAGCAATAGATCATATTGTACCTGCATTGAATGAACCATGTCTTTGGTGAAACGATAAGGATGTAAGATGTTGTGAATTTTCACAGCCAGATTGTCAGCCTGACTGCTGGTCACATCAATGGCTATCTGTAAAAACAGAATTATGGATCAAGCAAGCTACAAAGGATTTTGTAAAACCCCCAGACAAACACAAAATACCCCAAACAAACCAGCTTTAAGAAAAACTGGAAATAACCGAATTTTGACAAACCAAGCTTCCACAAGAACAGCACTAGCTAAAGATAATATTCAGCAATCCCTGTTTCCATTCCCACATACCTTCCCACCTGGATATTACCTACTAACTTCAATGCATCCAGCTGATTTCAAGTACTTATCACAAAAGCTGAAGTTAATTCTCAGCTTACATGGGGTCTCAATGGATTGCACTACAAAGATGTATTACCCTGAAATGAGTCAGAGTACATGTCACAGCAACAACTGAACAGAACGGCTCCTTTTCAGAAACTCACCAGCAGGTGGTTTGCTACTCCATCCCTATTGTTTGCAGGTGGACATGGTTACATACATATGTTTACAGACACACAACATGATGATTGAAGATAATGCTGCCTCGTGACAACAAAGGAAGTTTTTGTAAAAGCTCAAACATTGTGTCCCTCTCACATGCTATAATCCTGCCAAGCTATAAAAACAACTATAGTAAAATGCACTTTTAAGACTCATGGCATCCCAGGTGAGAAAGGTCTGCCCACAAAGATGACAGACACTACATTGCAATTTTGCCATTCAAAAACTTTTAATTTTAAGATTATTATCTCTGTAGAGGGAAAGACATCTTACAAGAATGTTTTGCATTTGAAATGACATAAGGCAAAAGATTAGGCTTATATCTGCTTCTCTGACTTTGAATAAATTAGAACAATGACTTACATATAAGCAACATATAAAAATATAACTAGGAAGTCTACAGTCTAAGATATCACTGAATTATATGCAACAATCACAATATCTGCAATTTTGATCCCCATGTCAGAATATAACAGAAGGCTAAAACAATTGCTACTTTAGCATGAGATGTGAGCCAACACTTACCTCTGGGCAGGGAACAAAAACAGGATTATCCCATTCTGAAAGCAATGACTGGAGAGACTCCCCTTCAGTATCTAGGAAAGAGCACACAGATAACACAGAGACTATCCATCAACAGATGGTGCAAAGATGCATTGGGTACCTTTACCTCACACAAGTTGGCATGTGGTTTTTTTCTTCATAAAAAGGATTGAATGTACAAATAAATAATGGAAGTCTGTTTTAACTAGGAAAGACACTGCAGCTTTCTGACTCCTAACCGTGCTACAGCACAATTCAACAGGCCCTGGAAATGGATGGGGGGGTGCACCGGGAAGGGAAAGAAAGACCTGTTTAGCTACCCACTTCCTCTGGACAAAGCCACATACCAAAAAGATGATTCCATCCTTTCCACCAAAAAAAAAAAAAAAAAAAAAGGGTGAGGATTGAAGCTATTTTTCACATTCTGAGGCTGGAACGAGTACAAAGAGGGGAGTAGGCAATTATTCTTCAAACTGCTGACATAATTCAACAAAGAACTGGCTATTTCATCCTGTAAATAAGTATCCCCTAACCTGCTTTCAACCCTAAAAGATTTTTTTTCCCCGTTCTAGATTTGAGATGACTCACACGGTCCCATTGTTAACAGACCTTGAGTAATTCTGGGTTCCTGTTGGGACATCTGGGAGAATTCTCTGATTTGTTTTTACCACAGAACACCATGTCCTGAAAAGCTGGCCCTACCTCTCAGATCCTGGCTTGCTAGAGTCTTCTCTTTTTGAGGTCTAGGAAGGAAGGGTAGCACAGTCTCACTTCTAAACGGATGGCACCTGAACTGAAAGCCTAAACACAATATAAATTTACTGCTGCAGATTCAACAGCATGCAAAATTACAAAAAAAACATACAATTGTTACATTCTCATAAATGAGCATGTGCTCAGCCCTGCACAAATTAGAGAATCCCACAGAATTTGCAATCTAACCTTGAGGAAGAACAGCACATATGTAAAAAGTTGAGAATTATCAGACACACCTGCATCAGGAAATATATTTTAAATGTTACTGTGCCTTCTGCAGGACTGTCCTTAAAATTTCCTGCTGCTTTAAAAATGTAACTATTATTTCCAGAGTAAGTGCAATCAGAAGTGTTACCCCCAAAGAAAGAGAAGGCCGACAGGAGTCTGTCAGATATCAAAATACTCTCGAATTCTCTCTGTTAAGGAGTGGTAAAACTGTCAGTCTATCACTGCTACTTAATACAGTTATCAGGATCTTGTAAAACTGAAAATTACAAGTCAGTGAGACCACATGAGATACCAGTGCTAGCCTAACAGCGTGCTCCTACCCACCCAGAAATGATTTAATGATATTACAAACTTGCATTGTTATCAAGATTATTAAGCAAAGTGGCTCAGATTTCCAGCACAGTGGTAAACATTTCACCCTTCCTTTGGTACAATTCAGACTTTTTTAAATAATAATGAATCAATAAAGTTCCTTTCTACTGAGAAATTAAGGGTGTGCATTCAGGAAAAGCAACAGAATGATAAGGCCAAAGAAAACCAGCTGCATGCTGATAAGCTCACTGTAAAAAGGCTCTATGAGATCCTAGACCAGACTGTAGATTGTTGACTGTTGGCTCTATTCCAGTAAGGACCAATGATGGTGTACCCTGGGGACCGAGAATCCTTTCCAGAATCCAAACTGGCAGCCCAGCATGGGAGAGTAACTCAGCATCACACTGTCACAAACCCCAGAACAGAAGTCAAGATGGCCTGACGTGGATCCTAGCAAACTGGCAAATTGAAGAATGCTGCTACATTCAGACTTCAAGAGAACTTTGATATTGTCATGGAAAGGTATACTCTCACAAGTTCACAGAAACAGGTATTGTCTATATGAATAGAAGTCCAATATCTTATACATGTAATAGAGCCATCTCCCTGCTTCTTGTTGCAGGGAAAATCCTTGTTCAGGACATACACTGTTCATAAAGCTAGGATTCTCTTGTCCAAAGGCCACTGGGAATCTGAAGCTGGCAGAGATGTTATTAATGCAATTTTTCTGACATGTAACATCAGAAAAAGTGCTGAGGATAATAATGTATCTACTTTATACATGCAAACCACATACAATTACCATATTTGAGTATCCATTTTCACTTGCTCCAATTAGATCATTTAAACATACTACTGTAACAATACATCAGTCAATACTGTAACAAAGGTAACTACAAATACAAACACAACTGGCATAGCAATGAAGACCAAGTGGAACTCGGATGTTAGCCTACTACAAATGCATAGCATTAGATTATTCAAAAAGGCATCTGATGGTGAAATGAAGCTTGATAAATTCTCCTGTAGCAATCATTTTAACGAGTACAAAGGTGCCTGAGTCTAACCTTCAAAATAAAGCATTTCTGTTGAGTACATGGCTTCTGACTGGGAAAGATGGCAGACGGCCATTATCAACATAGAAAAGAGGATATGCATTATTCGTATCTCCTTCCACCTGTCTCAAACAAATGTAATTTCCCTAAACTTGTGTATGAAATGCTGTTATTAATAAATCATGGAGCTGTGAAATTCTGTGTCAATACCATAGGGTTACTGATACTTCTTTAAAAAGCAAAATGAAAGCATACAATAGCAAATGAAGAAATGATCCCTCTTCCAGGTCTTAACAGCAGGCCAAAACAGCGCTCAACTTCAAGAGACATGAATGCTATGTGAGGACACAGTTATGTTTATTCCTATAGCTATAAAAGAATGAAGATAATTTGCTTGAAAACACATGAAAGAACATGGTTGTTGAACTTTGAAAATCTAAGATCTATAGGGTCTAGTCACAGTTCAAACACCTTGTGTGAAGTTTTGGGAGGTCCAACCTTCAACCTAAGAAAAGGAAAAAGGCTACATATATCTCGCCGAAGAATAACACCATTGGTGGAGTTAAGAAATAGTGGCACCATTGGTACAATGGAGAGTAACACCAATGATAAGGCTAAGAAAGAATATTGCCATTGGACATGCAACACAATATACATCTTCAAAGACTACAGACTACACATCATCTGAAACTGTAAGGGTATGTGAGGTATTCTCTTTACAAAAATGAAGGCACTATTCAAACTATTTTGTACAGAAAGTCAAGCTCCACATCTCAGTGTTTTGGCTCTGTACTAAACAGCACTGTGGGCAACTGAAATTGGTAAACCACAGAAATTAAAAGCGTTAGACAAGGAGTGTATATTTGCACTTGCAAGTAGTTTTACCTAATAGAAACAGAGATGGTCTTCACCTTGTAACAAATCTACTTCAATGGAACACAATAAATATTAAGAATTATTGGCATAAATTCTTGCAATTAAAAGGGAATAGCTTAACAACTGAAACACCTATTGCACCGAGAAGTGTCAGACAAAAATGGAACAAAACACAATCATCATCTATCATGACTGATTAGGCAAACATGTCACAGGAGAACCATCTAGGAAGAAGTCCAAACTGCTTTTTCAAAGCAAATTATGCAGCAGAAAATATAGTCTACATGTGGAATGACTGCATCTTCACTCACTACAGACAGAATGAAGAACAACTTAGAACACAGATGCATATATACGGAAGGAAAAATTATCAAAGACACTGTTCTGCTGAGCCAGACCAAGAAGGCACGGAAATCCAAACCTGACATATATCAATGAGGGCTCATGGACACCACACCCCTGAAAAAACAATACAATGTAGTGTCCTCTCACCCCTGGAAAGCTCCACCACTGAATCACCAACGATGCTGTACGACAGCTCCTACAAAGCCAAGTATGAAGGAACAGCCTTGCAAAATCTGCAGAAAGGAGCCTACACATTCTCAACAAAGAGTTAAGATTTTTATTCATTTTCAAGGGTTGTTTTAACTTTGGCATGCTGGTTGAAAAAAGATCATTTTAACGTGGGGCTCTCTGTAACAACATATTCTTAGGAAAATAACATAGTCCTTAGTTGGGACAAAATGGTTAAAACCACAATATTTTTCCAGTAGGCTTACTCTGAGGTATGTTTCTCACTTTCCATATGACAATTATATGTAACTGTGATGATCCTAAATGTCATTATGCCTGGCGGAAACTTGGCAGCTGTCTGCTAACTGACAAGTTGCTGACATTTCTTTTTACTGTTTTATTAAAAAATATATTTAATATCTTGAAGATTAATGTTTTACTGTCTCTATAGTTCCCAACATTTTCCTGTTTTCCATACAGCTGTTACATGTAAGGCAGTGGCTATAAACCCTCAGCAAGATATTTTATGCACCTTCCATAACACAAACAGTTTTCCTCATCCCACTTTTACAACAACCACCACCCCTCTTACCGCTCTCTGAAACAACATTCACAGCCATTGTTGTTATATCTTGAATGCAGGCAGCTTGAAATCCTGCCACAGGAGGAGTGTTGTAGGTGCTCAGTCCAGTTGTTTTATTGATGTATATAGTCTTACCCAATGAAACATCAAAATCTTGCAGCCAGTCAGAACAACACGCACCATTCCTGGGATCCCCTGTGCTTGTGTTGTATGCAGAGAATTGCAAGTTACTTAGGAAGGTTGTGTGGGGAGCCTCAGTATCTTTCAAATTTTGTTCGGAGGGTCTATCTAACATACTTTTATCTTTACAGATGTCATCACTACAATCCTTTTTAGCAGGTAATGATAAAACACTGCTTGAAGAGACTGTGTACTCCTCTTCTATGCTGCTGAGTGGTGATGCACTGACAGTACTTTTCACAGGCTCCAGTATTGTACCGTCCAATGGCCAGCATGCATCCCCCTTAGAAACACCGTAATTACAGTCCCCCATTCTTTCTACTGAGGATTTATATGTTTTACAAGCATTATATGAAAAATCATTATTTGAAGGTCCAGGAACAAAAGAGTAGTCATCTTTTCTACTTGAATCTCTTGGGAATTGTTCACTAAGTTGTTCTAATTCCTTGTGGTCACCTTTCATTCTGGACAGTTTAGATGACAATGATCCTGGAGATCTTTTACAACTTGCATGGTCGTTACTAACCTTACAGTAACCAGACAATGTCAAAGGACTCTGACAAAGGGCTTGTCTGTCCTCTGAAGTTGCTCCACTGCAGAATAAAGTATACCCTAAAGAAACAACTTCACTACTAGTATCAGAATCTGTGTCTTCCACAGCTGGAGTTTCACAAGTGCTCAAGTTACCATGATGGTCATTATCATTCCTTGAAAAGTCACAATTAGCTTGTGAATTAAAAACCGTGAGATCAAATTCACTCTGCTGTGACGGCGTTGGTAGCGTACACTTGTCCCTCCCATAGTATCTCCTGAACTTTTCCAATGAACCTAGCTGTGAGGACAAGCTCAGCTTCACAGAGGGCTGAGGTCTTGGCACAGCTGTTTGTCTTCTATTGCTTTTTATAACTTTATTTTGAGGAATACCTGAAGAAGTTGCCAGTGGCAATTCTGAAATGTCTGATGTCTCACAATGCATTCTACTGCTGGCAGTAGGCAGAGATGCTTCCTTATTCACCTTTTTTGACAAAGTGTTGTTCTGTAACCACTCGCTACCATCAGCTATGCATACATCCCTGGTGTAAGGAGGTGTATATTCTTTATTTGTACTACTGGAAACATCCTTAGAATTTAAAGACCGCAAATTTACGTTGTGGCCAAACGCATCCTTGGCGCTGACAGGGCCAGGTCTACGTTGCATGTTTAATGCAAGACTTATTTCTGTTTGTTCACATTCATGTGGGGCCTCTTTTTGTGTAACACATGTTATCAGGCCTGTAGAGCACAATTTCAATGGTATTGAACTAACAGCCTGTCTTCCAGCATCATCTGTCAAGTCAGCTGTTTCCCCATCTTCTCTCTTTGCATTGCAGAGCCTCATCAGCGAATTTCCAGAGACAATTTCAGATCCCACTGCTGCTTCAGTAGAGTCTCCTCTCTCAGATGACAACTGAGAAACATCATTATTTAAGGTACAGACTTTATTGCTTTTCTGCACTACTTTGCCTTGCTGGCTTCCCATGTCTTTTATGTAATTCTCTGCACAATGCTGCAAGTCATCACAACTGTCTATTTTTCTTATTTCTGACCTGGCCCCTTCACTGAAAGAGGAACAAAGATTTCCTGAAGGTTTCAGATGAGCATCAGGCACTTTCTGGGAACTGATAGTGTCTTTTGGCTCCTGCTCCGAGATATCTGATATAAGGAAACCAGAAGCTGTGTCATCTTTGCTGGGCAGTGGAATCTCTGCTCTATTGTTTCTGCATGGATCAGACGGTTCATCAATCTTCTGATGTGGGGCGATCTCAGTTTCCTGTAGATTTTTATTTGACTCTATAAGACTTGAAGATTTCTGTCGAGTAACAGATTTCCTTTTGACATCTTTTGATTGCAAGTTACACATTTCATAGGAATCCAAAATTTCATCACATGCTTTCTTAAAACTGTCCTGGATGCTTTTCTCATCAGGGAGTGAGGGCTTCAGAACTGGAGCATTACACAAACTAAAGTCATTATCTTCATTAAATTCTCTGATGTCCTCACTACATGGTTCAATAAATAAATGTTCTCGTTTCAAAAATATTTTCACTCCTTCCTCTATACAAGTTAGAACAACATCCCAGTTTTGGAACTCAATTAGAGTCTTTGCAGGTTCCAGACATACATCATAGTCACTGTATGCACAGGTCACATTGAGAACAAAGATCCCATACAACTCTGGGCCACAACGGTGGCAACTAGGACTAGCCTGTCTGCTTACAGGGGCACTTTTTGCCTTGCAAATGACACTTTCTTTTCTTAATAAAAAATCAATCAGTTTATGGAGTCTTGTCTTTAAAACAAGCCTTCTATTCACATATAAGAACTGCATATTCTTGTTGTAATGCCCTTCAGTACTGATATAACCATTTATCTCAAATCCCCCAGACTTGTGATTTATTTCTCGTAACTTCTGGGATCTGCCAAGTCCATAAATTTGACAAAACCGTGAGTACACATCTCTTGTCTTAGGGAGCTGAAGCACCATAGAACAAGAAACGTCATTTCTCAAAGATAGTGAAATAGAGGGATGCATCAGTGAAATAGCCTCTACTTTCTGCCTCACTCTCTCAAACTCCAACACAGGATCCATACACTTCCTCCTTACTGGTAACTGATGGAACAGATTACACACAGTGACTGTAGTTCCACCACTTGGTCTGCTCAATTCAGCTTCACAGACTTCCAGTGCTTGCCCATTGTGAAAGAGTTTCACAAATGTTTTTGCTGTTCTGCTGCTCTTAGACGAAATTTCCACTATGCTGGCCACATTGGCTATGCTTGCCACAGCCTCCCCTCTAAAGCCGTAGGACGTCAGCTTCTCCAAGTCTCCCACCGATTTGCATTTGCTGGTGAAGTACCGCTTTCCCATTGCATTTAAGTCCTCTCTCCCCATCCCAGAGCCGTTGTCCACCACCTGGACCTTAAAACCTTCCAAATCCACCCTTACAGCTACGCATGTGGCTTTTGCATCAATGCTATTGAGGACAAGCTCCTCAACACACTGCCCCAGTGAGCTGATAGTTGTTCCAGAGCGCAGCTTGGCTCGCACATCTTCCACCAAACGTTTGATCATGACATCAAACAGATGAGGAACTGAAAAAACTGCAGAGAGCTCACTCTTCCATGTTCCTTAAAACAACAACCTGCATGAGGAAAAAAACAAAACAAAAAAATAAAAGCCTGAAAAAACTTTAATTTATTGCATTGCCCTCATAAATACACCTTTCTCAGTTTCCCTGGTATTTTGAGGGTTTTTTGATGACTACTTTCCTGTTTAGGCTTTGACCACATACTGCTGGTGCCTTCAGGCTCAATGGCCAGAATGCCGTGTCTGTGCCCTCTACTAACATTCTTTATTCTCAAACTTAACATACCCAAACTCCAACCATGATGAGGCAAAACTCAAAGAACCTGCAGGCAAAAGGCTTATGCTTCCATTTGTCTCAAAAGTACAGAGTAAGCATCACCAAGAAGTGGGCAGAAAGCTGCCTTCCTCTCATTTGTACCTCAATGCCCACAATGCCTCATTCTGGCCAACGTGCATCTGCTGCAATTTGTCTAAGAAAGCAACAAACTGGGCTTGGGGATGGGTGTGGGACACTGAGCAAGCTGTTTATGAGAAAGGGAACCTGCTATTTTCCAGTCCTTGATGCCTACTGGTTTCCTAGTGGTATTCAAGGGGCACACCACTCTTCTCGCACCCCCCACGCAGCTCTGCAAGTGCTGCAGGCCCTCTCCAGGGACCTGGTGCTCCCTCTGTGACAGCACCCAGTGATTCCCCGCTCCCGGGGCCAGAGGAGGACAGCGACCCCCCGCGCCCCGGCTCGCTACCACACGCAGTCCCCACGGCGCGCCGGAGCAGCGGCCGCTGCCGCCCTGCCCTTCCCTTCCCTTCCCACAGCCTCCCGCTCCGCTCTCACCCCCTCAGCTCCCGCCGGCCTGAGGCGGGGCGGCCCCATCAAGCACCGCTGCGCGAGACCAACCGCCGCGGGCTGCCCGGCTCCCGCACGCGGGTCCTGCAGGAGGGCAACAGCGAAATAAGGTGCGGGCGAGGGAGCGCATGCGCGAGCACGGACCCGGAAGGCTGTGGGAAGCTGAGTCCCGGCCGCGCGGTGAATGCTGGGAGATGTAGTTGCCGGGCCCCACTGGGGTCGCGGAGAGGGAAACAGCACCGTCCCCCCACGCCCCTTCGAGCGGCGGCTCGTGACACCGGGCGGTCGCGCGCAGGCGGGTACTGGCAACGGGATGAGGATCCAAGGGCTGCGACCCACTCCGCCTGCACATTCCACACAAGAAACATGCTCGAAGCAGCTTTATTCTAAAGAAATAAACTCTGGAACAAAGTAAATTCTAAGGCGTTTAGAGCACAAAATAACATCTTTCAGCAATTCCCATGCTGTCCTTCACGCAAGCATAACACTGCACAGATGTAAATTTTGCCCAGGTACAGCCCCCAAAAACCAGCACTGGAAAGACAGAACGAGGGGTTGTGCCCTGAGGCAGCCCCTTCAGCAAAGACAGCCCACTCTCATCCAACTGCCAGAGCTTTGTGAAAGGCTGAGAGTTAGACTGAGTGTACAACAAACCAATAAATTAGAAATTTAATACAATTAAAGTTCTCCAGAGACTAAAACTGCCTAAGTACAGGTGTTGTGAGAGCAGCTCATGACCCAGATTTTGCTTCTTCCTGGGCAAAGCTATTTCACGATCTGGAAGTCACTGTGCTCCAGCGCCTCAATCTTCTTCTCATTCCTGAAGTCTGCTCGGCTGATGTGGGACTGTGGACTTCCCGTCTTCCTGAGCCATTCCTGCAGCTCCCGCACCCTGGCAGCTGGGCCCTGAACTTGCCCTTGCACAGTGCCATGGCTGGTATTTTGGACCCAACCAACAAGTCCGAGCCTCTTAGCCTCCCCCTGAGAAAACAATGCAGAGCAAAAGGAGATTAATCCAAACTGTGAGAAAGCGACAGGACGTTCACCTACAGAAGTTCATGCTACAGATGCAGACCCCTGAGGAGTTTCCTACAGCACAGGCTGCAGGGAAGCAGCAGAGCATTCAGTCAACTCCTCATGATACTATTCCACATTAAAAGCTTGGGATGAAACACACTTTTCTGTCGTGCTTCCATAACGAAGCACAGGCTACCAGCAGCGCTGACAGAAGACAGCCCCTAGCCCCAACCCCTCCTTCCCCCGCCCTAGAAGCAGCCAGGACCTATGCCGTGGCCACGGCCAGGCCCTGACAGCGGTTGGCAAGCACAAGAAAGAGCGGGGCGTGGTACCGCGCCACGCACCTGGGTGTACTTGCGGAAGAAAACGCCCTGCACCTTGCCGAACACCTCGTAGTCCACGGAGAGCAAGCCCTCGCCTTCCGCCATGGCGGCAACACCACCAGCAACCTCCGCCTCCTCCAGCGGCAGCCGCAACTGCCGCACACCCCATTGCGCCGGCGCGGAGCGGCTGGCAGTGGGGGCGTGGCCTCGCTCTCCCGTGGACCAGTCAAGAGCCAGGGCCAGTCCCTCATTAGCCTCCTCATGAATAATGCACACCTGCTCGCCCCGCCCCCTTCCCCCGCCCGCCGCTCCTGCTCGGCCATAGAGGCGGAGCTCTCCAGAGGACAGAGAAACCATCGGGAGCGCGCTCGCCAGCCAGAGCCGCGCAGGAGCCGGTATCCGCGTGCCCGTCTTAGGCAAGCACGGTCCTCGCGCGCCCTGTGTGTGGGCAGGAAGCGGGCCCGCCGGGTCCCTGCGGCGGTGTCAGGCCTATAAGCGGGGTGGGTGGCAGCTCCGAGGGTCCCGCGGAGCGCTCAGCACCTCGGTGTGAGAGGGCCCTTCATGCACCTCGGGGGATGTGGGAGAACGAGCCACGGGAAGACTGGGATGAGCTTTACCGGATAGTGCCTGTCAGAGCCACAGTGGCAGCTCTACAGTGCCAGAACCGAAGGGATATGTTATGGGAAATACCTTTGGGGAGCGTTGCTATTTCTCTGGCAGTTGATTCGGAGAAAACTCCAGGAAGAAACCTGCCAACAAAGTTTTCAAGCTGACAAGCAGGTATGCTTTATTGCGGCACCAGGAGACACAGGGGATAGCTCCTCCTAATGTGTGTCCCCGTGTTGCTACACAAGCCGTACTGACATAGTCCCTGGGCATACATACATATTCATGAGGCTACGTATGGATTACATCATTTTCCAGAGAGTTCCCCGCATGTGTACAGAATTGTGGTGGTGGTCTCTGAGGGTCATTTACTTCTTCCAACAATCTTCATTACTTCGTGCCACATTTGGAGCATGCGCGGTAGATGCTCATATCAATATAATTGGTTTGTTACCACCAGAGACATAATAACCCTCCTATCCTCCTGCTTACCATTTAGTTTAACTGTAGCCCATCCTGGACACCTGCGGTTCCCAGATACTCCTTATCCCTGTGTCCTCTTCTTCTAGACTGTTTTGTTAAAACTATATCAACTGTAACGATTTATCTTGTACAAGAATTCTCAGTATGTTCTCTCGCTGTAGTCTACTTTTCTTTTTTTTACAAAGCCATCAAACTTAACGTTACTTAAAACTGATTCTAAAGGTTTATATATTTCATTTTGTAATTTTGTGCTCCCCCTTGTCTCACGGTACAGCATACTTCAGCTGCTAGTAGGGTAAGGCAGGGCTCACACAGGAAGTAAAATAGAGTCGTGCGTTATTTCTGGCTGCACAAGCAATTGGGACTGGCAGGATGGGAGCTTGCTAGATGGAAGGACTGTAAAGATTTACAGAATCCAGAAGAGTTACAAAACCTTTGCTAATGTTTATCACAGCCTCTCATTGTAGCCTCCAGGTATAGACTGTGGGGAAAAAAATGTCCAGTCTTGGAGAAGATAGTCTGTAATGACTTTGCTTCTAACCTCAGGCTCTTTCTCAAGAACTGAATGGCTTGGTTTCCACCACAGGATTCTGTGAGGGCAGCTACTAAGTTTGTTCCCGTTTCCCAGCTGGAACACCAGAAGAGTAACTTTCAGCATAAACTCGTACCTGGCAAAGAGCAAGGTTTAAAGGATCTCTGTGCCTGCAAGAGCCAAAGATATTCCTATTCTCTTGCCCCAGAAAACAGTCAATACAGATCCAGGTACAGAGATTCCTGTTTAGGTGGACTGCAGGACACCAGCCAGACCAGGACTCCACCGTCTAGATCAGTAGCCAGGCAGAAAGAAGGAGTGGATGTGCGTATCCCCTGAAACCAATTGTTCACCAGCAGGGTATGAGTGTTCGAGTGGTCAGCACAGCACGGTTTGGAAGTGCCCCATACATGGAGGAAGCTGCAAACACCAGCCCTAGCTCAATGAGCAAAGGGAGGTATCAGCCACCTGCAGTGCTCTCTCCTTGGCCAGCAGAACCTGAACAGTCAGCCTCCTCATACAGGGGGCAGCTGCCCTACATCCAAAAGTTAGAGGCAGATGGACGGAAGCTGGAAAAAGAAATCCAAAAGCAAAAGGCCCTCCTCAGAGAGAAGCTGGAGAGAGCAAAGGAGTCGCTTAGGAGGATTCAAAGAGAGAAAGAGCATCCTGAGATGGAGAAGGTACCCAGAAGTGGAGAGGATCCATAAGCAAATGACTACAAAGTACCCTGAAGAGAAAAATCTTCAGAGGTGCAGCCAGGCCGGATGATGGGGTCTTGCATGGGGCGCGGTCTGCAGAGGCTGTTGTCCTCAAGCCTGGCACCACCCTCTGCCCCCAGGAGCTGGCAATGGGGAAACACAAGGAGGAGAGGCTGGTAGCCAGCAACAGCAAAATTCAAGGCCACATACCAATGGAGCTTGCTCAAAGACAGCCCCGAAATGTGGCTTTTCTCCCTCTGCCATCTCAGAGCAAGTTTCTGGTAACCATCCGTCCACAAAGGTACTATGCAAGCAGGCTGGCAGTGCTGAGGAGCAGGGGAAGCTTGGACAGCGCAGCATCTGTGGACGTAACTTCCTCTGCATCAGGCCTGAGAAGCATAGAAGTATCTGCAGCAAAATCCAAGGCTCCAGGAGGAAAGTGTTTAACTCCAGCAAGGCTAGAGCCAAGGGCACAGAACTGGAAAAGTATCAGAAGCTGAAGGACTTGGAGGGGCCTGAGGTAACATGCAGTCCTTTTGCCTCCCTTGATCCACACCTACTGCTCCCATTCCTTCTACCTCAGTATCTAATCCTGATGAGAGGTAAGCGCCTTCACGTGTGCAGAAGGCTAAGGGATACAATGCAGTTATTGAAATGTTCTTGCCAAATGGATAAAGAAATCCATTTTAAATCTAACAGATAGGGGGCTGGGGTCCTACCTGACCTGTCTCTGTAATGCGTCACAGGTGTACTCCTGCAGAAAGCTCATTCCTTGCTGTAGTCATGATGCAGACTGGGTCTGCTGCAGTAAAGCTCTGTGGCATGCATGGAACTGACTGAAAATCCAGGTAATAACACAGGCTGTGAAAAGGAAGGCAGCAGAAACATGCATCTCAGTTTCTGCAAAGCTGCTATAGCAACCCTTTCTGATTCCTTGGGCTTGCTGGTTTTTCTGGTTATACTCAAGCTCTTTCCAAGTATCAGTGCCTCTCTCAGTATTTCCTTCAAATCCTCCTTGGTGATGGTCTTTTTGTTCCCCGCTGTGGGACTCAGCTTCTCAGGAAGTGGTTTACATCAACAGGGAATGCCCAGGGAAGGGTGACCTGGGTTGCGCCCCGAATGTAAGATTGGGAATGGAGGCTGGTGGTGGTGCCAGTTGCTCTGACTGCCTTTCCCTTCTGCAAAGAAAGCCACCCAGAAAGAATGGCTGGAAACAGAAGTATGCAGTTCCCATCCAGACCATGCATGAGGCCTGCGAGGTGCCACAAGTCCTCGGCAGGAGAGAGAGATGTCTGAAGTCCCCTCATTGCCTCTCATCAAAAACCCAGATTATGTTTCCCTGCCCCGACTGTAGATGCAGATTTGATCCAAGTGTCTGCTTATATCTGGTGATTCTGCTTTTTATTGTATTAAACTAGTTCTGCTGTGGAAAAGTTGTTTTCAAATGGTCACAAGAGTAGTTTGTTTATTCTTAAAGTAAGAATGACTGCTTTGCATGAGAAAGTTGCAACAGGAAACAAACCTGGAACAAAAAAATTCCATCAGCTCAGCTTGCAAGTCCTTCAGTCATGCAGCAGCAGCAGCAGCTCACGGGAACCTAGAAAAGACCAAACACGACTAAACTGGACTAGCCTGAAGCTGAGCACGAAGAAACACTCCAGCCTTCAGTGGGGAGATCTGACTCCTGAACAGTTGGAGAGCTTCTGTCCTATAAATACGTGCCCTTGGCACACCCGAGAAAAGTGTAAAGGTCCCAGAAAGGGTCAGCGCTGCCCTGTGCCAGACAGGTACGAGTGTACAAACCAAGAGAGCAGTACAAAACGGCTCAGCACAGATATTTACCCTGCCACTTTGCCATCATGGTTAGAGTTCCTTGGCACTACTCAGCCTATGTTGTTGACACCAGCTCAGCTTCCTCTTCTGTTACTGCAGTACAATCCCCATCTCGTAGACATGCTGCATTTTCAATCGAAATCTCCGACGAATTTTAAGTCTTTAGCCCAGCTTTGCCTCTGAAGACATTTCAATACTTACTAAAAGCCCCAATAAAACGTGAGAAGTGAGAGGCATCAAGTATAGGAACAGTGGGCTGAGCAGGCATCAGGCACGTTCTCCCATCCGTAGGCCTTAATGCTTATTAGAAGCTGTAGGAGAGAAGAGGTACTTTTTCCCTTTGAAGCTCTCTCTTCCTGTTACTCATTTCCCACTTGGCACTTACACTGTTGAAATAAACACACGCACAAGAACCCCCTGATGTCACTAGGAGGAGATGCTGCAGCAAGAGAAAAGAGTTGTTGTGTTGTTTGGTTGGGTTTTTAATGAAAGGACACAAAACCTGATATTTTTTTCCCATAGCAAAGACACCCGCACACAGGAGAATGAGATTAAACATTTATTTAAACAGAAACTCCAAACCACTCCACCCTTTAACCTTAAAAAACAAAACAAAACAAAAACCGACAATGACAAACTAGTTTTCAGCCAGAGTGTCAAAGCAGGTGTAAATTGTGTTCCACTGTAACAACTCAGTAGCGATACTAGCAGGAGACCAACATATAGGGAGCTAGCACTGCAAGAAGGGGAGAAGTAAAAAGTGTTCGAAACTGCTCAAAAGGCACTTCTTGCCCTTCCATTTCCAGCCCAAGACGAAGGTGCTGGCTTTAAACTGCTTTTCTGGTTGCATAGCTGGCTGGTGTGAAATCCGTGGTCTGTAACAGGCACAAACTGGATAGCGTGAATCCTCTAAGGCACATATGAGCTTGCAGAGCACAGGGCATCCTCCGTCAGGAACCCTCATCCTCCACTAGATCCAAAGGGAATCCAGCCTGTGCACCTAGCTTCCCAACTGCAGAGCATTGAGAAATGAGGATAGCAGTGCACTGCAGGAGAGCGACTCCCATCAGCTTGATGCTTGCTTACTGGACATGGCTCAGGCTCAACTCTTCACTCCTCAAAGGCACTGCCACAACATGACCAACTCCATCATTTCCAACTGCAACAACAACTCTCAGGTCGGGACCCTGACCTGAGAACTGGCTCCAACGCACACAGCGGAAAAGAGAGCAGAGTCTCAAGGACAACGGAGCGGCGTGGCCGCCCCACAGCACCCAGTGTTCACCACCTCCCAGGAGGGCTGTCCTCCTGCCCTGCCTTCACTAACAACAGATGGGTACACAGGTACGATCCTTGCTCTGGACACTGCCCTGGAGAGACTGCAATTGATTCTGCTCCAAGCTACTAGCAATAGGCACTCAAGGAGCCTAAATTAAAAGCAAATGGCTTGGCATCCACCTCCAGAGACAAATGGGGAATGCTGGCTCCCCTGGAACAGTCTCCTGAAAGAAGCAGTCCCAGAGGGGTGAAAACATATCCAATTCCAACAGCCCTGAGGCAATTCTAGTGACATGTCACTGATGGGGACAGGCTCATGAAAGCCATGCTCACAGCAAAGGTGAGAGGTACTCAGGACTCCTTAGAGGCTCCACATAATGCAGGGGAGGCTAGCTGCTCCCAGGGATCCTACCAAGCCCATAAGCTTACTTCCAAGTCAAGCTGCTAATAAATTTCAGGGGAGCAAAACTTAACCTCATTTTCTATCAAGAAATGAGGAAATCTTGATCATCAGACCATGGCTCTTCCCATCTCCAAGTTTCTTGGGAAAGCCTCTTGCTTCTAGAAAGAGGGTGAATTCCGGACAGAGACTCAATCATTCATGGTCATTGGGGAAGGCTGCATCCTCTGACTACGGCATTAATGACCTTTCTGGGTAGGAAACTGCATTCCAGCTTCATCAAAACACTTCAGTGGACAAACACTGATTCTTCCCACACCCACATAGACTGTGGGCACCAGTGGCTGAGCAGAACAGAAGCCAAGCAGGGAGCAGCTACAGGCTTATGCCAAGAAACCGGAACGCTCTGCCACCCAAACCAAGCTGAACAGCTGGAGAAAGAAAGGGGTGACTTAGTCTGAGGCCCAGACACTTGTCACCTGGTTGGGAAGCAGGCAGTCTGAAACTGAGAGATAGAGATCCCATCTCAGACAGTCCCTGCTACTGCTATTGAAAACAACACACAGTTCACACATCTCGCTGCATTACCCGGAAGGTGGAAAGCTCTAAGCACCCGGAATAAAGCCTTTAAACTCTGTCTCTATATAGGCCACAAGAAACAGCCACATGGCCAGAAGCTGTGCCTCATGGCCAGGAACATGGTGGCTACCATTATCTCCCTAAGAGGAAGGTCTCCACTGCTTCCAGAATGAGTTCTCTGCTCCCTCTGCCCCTAAGCAGAGGGGAGCAGTCTCACCAGCTGGGCCTTACCATGTGGTCGGGAGAGGATCCCAGTCCTTCACCCCTCTGAAGCGAAGGTGGCGAGTCTTAGGGTTCAGCCATCTTAAGTACAAACTGTGTCTCCTCCTCTCATCTAGGCGTGCAGTGATGAATACTGGGGTCCCAAAGGCAGCTCCCAGGAAGCAGTGAAACAATGAAAGGACCACAAGCCGCTACTGGAGCCATTGCCATAATGGGGCCATTCTGCCTCGTGTGCAGTTGACAGATAAGGTACAAAGAGGAGCTGCTGCTGCTTCAATCACTGAGCTGGCCTAGAGCTCAGGAGCCTTTCCCCTCTCAAACTCACTCCTAGTTCATATCAAATGTACATGGGTGCTGCTCTGGAGCCTCCGGCCTCGCTCCTTGTCTGCAAGTGACCTGAAGCCAGGAAAGCCGCTCTCTGCGTTCGGTTAGTGTGCTGTGAAGTTTGATGAATCCCAGTGGGCTCAGGAGACTAGAGGCTGGAGCGGCACGAGTCCGTTCCCAGGAGACACCAGGAATCTGAATCCAAGTCAGGTTTTGGATCCACTTCCATCTCCTCTTTGGCTGTCTGCGTTCCTCTGGAATGAACCTTCACCTGCCAAACACACAGCAGTTATCCAAACAGCTCTAGGACTAGCCACAAAGAAGCCAGGAGCCATACGTGGCACAGCTCCTGTTCTCCACAGCCATTTGGGACTCTCCACATCTGACTACTCATCCCTTGTCATGAGGAGAAAGAAAGAGGGATGCCAAGTCCCTCAAGCGCTGGGCTGTCCTCACACGAAACTGTGGTCTTCATGCCTGTAGCTACTACCAGAGCTTGCATCAGCAGCTCTAACAAGAGACGGCCATCGTGTTCAAGCCCCCCCTTTCTGTTCTAAGAAACACATCTCTTAAGAGCTGCTTCCTTCTGCACAGCCTCCACAACCTATGCACAAGCACCGTGAGCGCAGAGGAGTCCTCACCTGCTGCATTCCCTCTGTCCCACTGCAGAACCGCTGGAGCTGGGCACTCAGACGAACGGTTTCCTGCTGCAGCTGCTTCTGCTCATCCAGACACTGTAAGACCAGGGCTCGGAGGTGCGTCACCTCCACCTGCAGAGCACTGCACATGCAGCCCGCAGCAGGAGGCGCAGCCTTCCCTTCGCCGCACGGCAAGGTTGGACTCAGGCAAGTCGGCTGCGGAGACAGAGGGAAGTCAGGCCAGTGGTGAGTGCCACTAACGTCCTCCTTCTTCTGGGAAAGCTGCTTCTGTACTACAACCAACACCTATCTGGTTTACCACCCTTTTGCTGAGCTGGGGATCTGTTCTCTTGGACAGAAATCTCCTGGAATAAGACAGCATTACAGGTTGTAGTTTCTCAGTGCTTTCCTATTATTACTTCTTCCTGTCTCACAGCAATGCCTGCTTTCTAAATTTCTCTTCTGATAGGGGTATGGGCCCTACGTTCCTCTTTTTTTTTTTTCTCCTTCCCAATCTCATTAGCCACATTTTTCCAAAGAACTGATCTCATTATTTTCAGTCTGGCCAAGCCCCAGCTTTGTGTTCTAGATTCCTGTGAACTGTTCTCTTTGCAGCATCATCACTGATATCAACAGCCCTCTCTTCCTCATCCAGACAAATTAGGACAATCCAAAACTCTCTCCTCAGCTCTCCCCGTAATTCAGACATTGCTGTTTACAGTCCCCAAGAGCTTTTAGCCACACCTTCACTTGGGTAACATTACCCAGGGCTCCGTTTGGGGCTCGTTTAATCCAGCGGGTTCCTCAGCGGCCACTTTGAGTCCTTGAAGTTTCTGGTATGGGAGAGTCTCCTTCTCTGGCTCTGAAGATACCATGCTCAAGGGAAAGGGGCTGTCAGGCATGGGGATGAATTCAGCGTTCTCCAGCTCCTGGGTACACAAAAGCAGCACTGTCAGGCCTGCCTGCCTTCCTGCAGCTGGCTTAACCTCCTCGATCATCACACCAGCCCCCTCTTGTGGTCAAAAAGGCTGAGAGGACTAAAGGGCTCCCCTCGTAGCACACTTAACTTGTCAGAGCATCCCTTAAAGGTGGCGGTGGCCACGTGCTCTTCCCCAGCCTAGGTCCCCATTTTAAGGCATTTCTGAAATTACGTTACCTTCCGCAGCCAGCCAGGGCAGGAGCTGCTGTCAGCACTGTTGCCTCCCTTAGTTTCTGCGGTGCTGATCCAGCCCCCCAACTCACGATCTGCTTCCATGGTTCCCCGAAAGCCTCCACTGGGATTGGGGGTCCCCGCTTCCTGTTCATTATCTTCTTCCTCTCCTCCTCCACTTGTGCAGCTCTGAGCCACTAGCAAACAAGAATGAAAACTTTATACTCTTCCCAACTCTGCTATTCCTGTTGCCAAACACCAGCTGGAGCAGAGAAAATGCAGACATTTGGGCTCTGTGTCCACAGTGAGAGCACACGCTAGCCACATCTCCCTCAACAGCTTATCCCTTAACACTACCTGCAGGCCTCCCCGAAGGGCTTGTGTGCAGCAGCCTTTGACAGCTTCTCAGCCCCAGCCCTCCCACAGGTCCAAGAAACTGGATTCCATCTCTCCAGCAGCTGCTCCATAGCCCTTTCCTTATCAGCTCCCTTCAGTGAATTCCTCTCAGCTTTTCCTTGTAAAATTGAAGTTCCTCAACTACAAAGGCCTCTCTGTATCCATGTTCTTCTCCTCTGTTTCAGCTGTCTCTCTCCCAGCTTCAGGCCATCCCTTCCCATGCACAGTGCCAACCAGATTTCCTGCGTTGAGCTCTTCTGTGAAGCCTTTCAAATGCAGAGAAACCATGCTGTAGCACCAAACCACACCCCATCCAAATAAACACCCAATGGACTTAAGCCACAGCTCCCCAGGGCATGTTACTCACCAGTTCCAATGGACAGGCCGCTGCTGTTGGATCGGATTGTTTTCGAGTTTAACACCTTTTCTGCCAGGAGAGAAGCACACTTTCAGTTAACAGTGCCACATGGAAAGCAAGACAACTCCTACAAAGGCACACAACAAAGCCAGTGTTGCAGACCTAGAGCTTAGAGAGCTTGCCACGTTCTCCCACAGCAACTTGGCCTGTTCCCAGGCAGGATTTATACTTAAGCTCCTGACAAGCAATACAGTGTCATAACCAAGATCCCAAAATTTCATTCTAAACTTACACTTACCCACAATGATGATGGTGTGCCAGCCACGGCATGACAGGTCTGGTACGTGATGCAATGATCCAAATATTGGCCGAGGCCATGAGGTACAAATATCTGAGCCATGGGCTCTCTCGGTTGATGTCATTGCCAGACGTCCATTCCCACCATTACCCCAGGCAAAGATATGGTTGTCTGAGGAAAGAGAGATTCAGGAGCCTCAATTCCCACACTCTCTCTTGGCCTGGAGTTGCTACAAGGATCACAGCCTCTCTGCTGTAACTGCTATCCCAAAGTATCTAACCCACCAGCTCCATTTTGCCCATGAGAGAATAAAATGAGAACTAAATAACCTAAAAGGCAGCCACCAAGCCAGCACTCTGCAGCCCCAGGGAGAGCAAATGCTTGACACTGCACTGGGACTACTAACAGGGCCAGACAGCGCCAGTTTAGGAGGATTTCTTTATTTCAGTGCAGTGCTGCAGGGGTAGTGAAGGAAATGCTCAGTGGGAGTCAGTTAACCACCCTGCACATCTAGTTCACAGGAAACCAGCACAACTTTGCAAAGACCCACTCACCGTCAGTAGCAGCTATGGTGAATTCATCTCCACATGAAACCCTGATCACCTGCTTACCCCCCAGGGGGCCTCCCAGCAGGTTAATTCCCAGGTGCTTCTTATAGTCCCCAACACCAAGCTGTCCGCACTTGTTGGAGCCGAAGGTCAGCAGGCGGCCTCGCTCTGAGAGGAGGAATCAGGAGACAGTCACAGCAAGGGCCCATAGCAAACTCTGGAAGCAGCCATGCATGCACAGAACCAGCAGCAACAGCCCATGACCAGGAAGGACTCTAGGGAAAAGCCTGCCAGGCTGGGAGCAGACAGTGCCAACCAAGAGGAATGGCTTCAGCCTGGGAACACCTTCCCAGTTCCTCTCCCATTGCTCCCCTTTTCTGACGCTGGGAGCTGGGACTCCTCACAGCCCTCTCACTGGTGTCACTTGAGCAACACCTAATTCAGTCATAAATGATTCCTCCACTAGCCCACAGCACGGTTCTTGCCCCCATCTTTTTTCTTCTTTTTTGCCCCTTTAAAGAAATGAGAAGTCTGACCCAGAAGCTGATGTTGTTCCTCCAACTGGCCAGGAGACCACGCTACTGAGAAACAGGAATCCTGGGTTCCTGGAGCAGGCATAAGCCTTGCTACCAAAAGCACAACCCTCAGTGTCAAGGGCCAGGCTGAAAGATCTAAGCTGATGCAAAGTAATCCAGCAACCAGCATTCACTTCTTAATATACAGGGCTCACCATCAATGGAAGCTGTGTGTGTCTTCCCTGGAGAAATGGTACGAATCTTGTAGAAGGACAGCTGCTTGGCCAGAGTAAGGGATGTGGCGTATGGCACCTCACAGTATGTCTGAGAAAAGACATGTGGGTAAACAGAGAGTGAAAATACACACATTCATCAGCTAAAACCTACTCAAGCATGTCTTGGCAGATCACATTAACCTAGACATCCCAACACAGGTATGGTAAGGAACTGCCAGAATCCGTGTCAGTGGCTAAATCACCCTGGAGCATCTCTCTGTCTGTTTCACTACCAGATACGACATAGGGCAGACAGGAAACAGAAACAAATTCCCCTTCCCACAATCCCAGTATCGACTGTTTTGAACTGGAACTACCAAATTGGCACAAAACCTAATGAACGCTTCGTCTCTGTCACACAACCTCCATCCCCTCATATACAGCTGGGAGCTGGAGCCAGGCACCCAAATGAACTTACATCATGGTTGATTATCCCTGATGTGCACTGATTCAGGCCCAGTTTGTTGAACTCATTGAGTCCACATGCCAGTACTTTGCCTGTCTGGGTGAGCAGGAAAGTTCCATCACAGCCACAGTGAACGGACACAATGTTTAAGGTCTTTGGCACATCCACCTATGTGGAAGAAACATATCCCAAGAAAATCAAAACCCTAATACCTACTACACAGAAGCTGGAACATGGAAACACAGGGTTAGAGCAGTGGTTTAGCTAGTCCGGGCACTGACAATAGCCAGTGAAGTTATTCTGAATGAAGGCACAAGAATATCAGAAAGTCTACAGCATTCTGAAACTGGTCACAATGCAGAAATTCCAGGCATTCTAGACCTTGTGAGCAGCCACCAGTGAGCCAGCACAGGAACCAGCAATGTGGTGCACAGGCATCCTGGCCAGCTGGGCTCTACAAGCACCAGCCCCAGTCCACCAAGCAGGGCTGGGTCTGTGCTATATGGGTAATACTGTGTGATCATAGGTATTTGGCAAATCCTTGGTGGTTTCTAACCCACACTGGATTAAATTACCTCCATTACCCCTACAACTGCATTTCAAGAAGGTTTTACTTTCAACTCATCTTTAACTCATTATGTCAAATTCAAAGACTCCCAGTTGTTTGCACTACTGCAACTTCCATCTACAAACCCAAGGTACGTCATTTGGTATTTCCTGCTGTGATTTCAACCACATTAAGTTTGGCATTTCCAGTTCCAGTGTGGAGACCAGAGCAATAAAGCTCCAAGTCATGATGCTGGCTCGTTTGGGAGCAGTATACCCCTCTGCTATGATGTCTAGGAAGAAATGCAGCAAAATGAAATGAGGAAGCAAAGTTAAAACCCTCACAAACTCTAATTTCTCAGGTGTGCCAGAAGAACACACCTGAGTGTCAGGCAGTTTACATTTACAGTCAGCAATTACTCTGAATTTATGCCCATGCAGATGTTGAGAATTAGTCACAGACCTACCTTCTGAGGGGTGTAATGATCTTCTTCTGAATCCAAGCCCAAGCGCCCTGCATCAGTGAAAACACTGCAATGAGGAAAGGCCTCGCAATGTGCCCATCCCTAAGAAATGGTATTGCCTCTCCACAGCCCCAGAGGAATCTCCCTACAGAACTAGAAACCCGCTTCTCTACATGCATCACTGCCTGCCAAGTCCCAAGATGACCCAACCCCACTCACACTACAAGTGCCCTACCCACAAAGAAGCCAAGGGGCACCCTAGAACTTCCCAAAATAAAGTTCCAAGGGCTCAGGTCCCCATCCTTACAAGGGGAGAAAGCCCAAAAGAAGCAAAGTTCTTTGCTATATATCCGCAGAGTATAGCAGACAGCCCCCACCTAGGCCCTGCATTACACACCTGCACCAACCCGCTTTCTGAAGCAGGCATGCCCCAGTGCCTTTAGGTTCCTACCGTACTCGCCACAGCCCCACGTGTAGACTTCTCTGTTCCTGGTCAGCACTGCCACGTGGTTATCTCCACAAGAGACCTGCTCCACGGGGTTGGTAAGAAAGAAATCCAGCTGCAAAGGCTCAAGCACTTCAGAGCCATAAGCCTTGTCAACACCGACACAGCCATAATAGTCCGAGCCAAAGGCATACACCTGGCCCTCATCTGAAGGACACAAGGGAAGCTTGGTCACACACAGAGACTGTATTAGGCTGCACATTAACCTCTTCTGACACAGCCAGATCAACCTCTTTTCTCTAAGTATCCTCCTCTTCAGTGCAGAAGATGTCATCAGGAGACTATGGAATCCTTTCTTGTTCACATTAAGATGGATGACATTACACTACAACCTGCACCTATTTCAGGCCACCAGTGTCGAAAATTCTTGGGTTGAACCTGCCACTTTTTTCAACAGAAACCCACAAATTTATCCTGTGGCTCCCTAAGTCGCTCCTCCAGCAAACTGAGCATCTGAGCTTATCTCTGTCAAACCTCTGCTTTTCCAGCACTGTCAAAATAATATGGAAACTACCTTGTTGAGAATTGTTTTTACGGGATAAGCAAGATTCAAATTCTTCCATAACAGACAACATCACAGTTAACACATCTTTCAGTGTATGAGCGGAGTTAGAACCAGAGACAGCTACCAGGTCTCGAGCTTTCTGAATTAACAGCAGACCTCAGATACACATCATCTTTTATCACTGAGAGGTTATTTCCCCCCACAGTCTGGAAAGAGTTTCAAACACATTTACATCCTTCACTTCAGGCTCCTCTCTCTTTAATACAGGCATGTGTGGAGGCAACACATGCACTGGTAAGAGCAGGGACCCTGCACAGCCACAGGGAGCTGTGCTCAACACCCATATTCATCACCAAAAAGCAGCACATCCTTAGCAAAACACTCAGTCTTCTTGGGAGTCAATATCTTCCTCTGTATAATAACACTGATCTAGCTCCACTCCTGCACCTACTAGTCTCAAAACTAAGGGCTGAGAACCATATGGGACTTTCTCCTTTGTGCACTCTGCTAATGTTATTGTGACAGCAAACACCTCCACCATGCAGCAAAGCAGCGGTGCCCTTCAGCTCTCACCTGTGATGCACACTGTGAAATCATCTCCACAGGACACCTGCCGAATAGCTTTTCCCTGGAGCTTCTCAACATGCTTTGGCTGTCGGTAGGAGGCTCTGTCTCCATGTCCCAGCTGCCCGTGCAACTTGGTGCCCCCCTGCATATTCTGCAAGACAGAAGCATCTGGTAAGGTTATGTATCCATGACCCCAGAGGTAGTCCCAAGTTAGAGCACCTCAAACAAGCAACAGAAAACAGCAAAGAGAAAGTGTGTTAGCTACTCCAGGGAATAGACTGCTATCTATGTGGGTAACAGCAGGCAACATTCTAAATGGCAGCGCTGGCTTTCAAGCCTGTTACTCACTAGCAGGGAGTGATCCTATCTCTGGCCACCAGATGGTGAGGAATCCCTGCTCCTTTCTCATCTGCCAAGCTACAGAACCCATTCCCTGCCAGAAGGGCTGAAATTCATCCCTCAGTTTTGTGACCAACTTTTATAAATCCTAACGACAGCAAAGAAATCCGTAATGTGAAACAAATGCCACAGAAGTGGCCAGACCTACCAATTCCACAGGAAAACCAAAACAACTCTGAGTAGTGTTAAAGCTAAAACTAAAATATTAATAGCCAGCTGGAAGTTTTCACTGGCTATTCTTGCAGTAACACCTACCAAATGACTTCAGATTGCTCTCCTGTTTGGATCTCTTTCTTCTCTCAGCCGCCTACCAGTATTTTCTAATCTGTTTTAACATATTCTGTATCATCAGTACAACAGCCTGTGGAAGCCTGGAGATGCAGAACCCCTCCATGTAACACACCATCTAAGCCTGAGAAGACTGGATTCAACTGTTTTGAATGCATTATATGCCAACATTTTTTTATTCGCTTTAAACTATCACAGAACTTCCACTCATCATAAAAAAAAAAACAACCAGAATTGTTTCATGTAAGACATCTCTGGTTTCATCCACAAGTTGCCTCTCAGATGACATGTATTACAACAAGGTCACTCACCCCATCCATTCTGATCTCTGAAAACCTTCCTCTAAAATACACAAAGCCTCCAGTGCATCTCTAATAGTCAGGAAGAAGAGGAAGAGATGTTTGACTCAGTGTCTAAGCCTACCACTCCACCATCTACAATCCTCAAAAACTGGATGGTCATGGAAAAGTCATGATGGAAAACTTCTCTCCAAAACACAACTACCTTGAGACTCGGGTCCTAAAGCAGATGGCCTCACTGTCACTGCAGTCAGATTTCTCCTTTTCCAAGCTTTTGGCTCATATGAGTCTAGTGAATTCATCAATGCTCAGCAGTGGATCTGGACTCTCCTTTCCCACCCTTACCCCTTCCGCCAATTTCTCTCACTTACCACCCAGGTGTAGAGTTCCTTCTCCACTGTCACCACGGCAAAGTGAGTGTTACCAGCACACACCTGGCGTGCGCTGCAGCCACTTTTGATAGCATCCAGCTTCTGGGGGGTGGACTTCCCACCCCCCCAAACATACACCTCACTAGTGCGTGAAGTCACGACTGCAATGGGAGCCTCATTCACGGTACTTGACCTGCACAAGACCCCCCAGAACACATATGCAATAATGAGTTTGCATTCACTGTCATCACTCATATGGGTTTTATTTTCACCAACTGTTCTTTTTTGTTGAGTGGTCATGAGGCCTCAACTGCTATACAGAGAACTCAGGATCTAACCTGCCCCAGAGCAGCAGAGAAAGTAGCCTCCAGGAAGCATTTTTAAAAGCCTACAATCCAGTTTGATGTTATTTAAAAATGATGGGCTTCCACTGAATAGCCATGGAGCTGTTCTCGTTTGTGAGACATGAAAGCTTTACCAACAGTCATGAAATCTTGCTCAAAATGCAGAAGCATCTAAAAGCTTCTAATCTCCCTCTGTCCTCTATATTTAAATGACAGGCTTCTATCCAAGGGCAAAAACATAACTTTTCAATCCAGTTAAGAATCAATTCACAAGCAGACTGCAATATGGAAGTTGTGACCAAAGCAAACTATTTGAAGCAACCCATGAAATGGAACAATTCACATGAAGTGCTCAGATAGTACTTCCAAGTTTATGAGGAAAAAATAGCAAATTCTATCTGACAGCTCAACAGAAAAAGAGCTATACATGTCACGGGAGCTACCTGCTTCACAGAGCAACCTCTGCATATATCCAGTTTTATGAAAGATATTTACATACATTTGATATTCAACATTCAGACAGTCATATCCCTCCTGTTGAAGGTAACCTGCATGAAAGGAGGGATCCACATCACACTGTCAGGTATGTAGTCTGTAAAGACTACAACCTCAGTAGGACAGGTCAAGAGCTGCATTGGACCTGCTGAAGTAAGTCTCCAGCCACGCAAATAAGCAGGATATAAAAGGCAGAATAAAACAAGGGACAATTACCATGTAACAACAATGTCAAATTCCTAGCATTTAGGAATTAGGAACCTACACTATCCCATTAAGGTTGTCACAGACTAGCACTCTCAGCAAAGTTCCTCTCTGAGGACCTTTCACTCCAGATTTCCTTTCAAACACATGCCCAAATAATTACCTTGGTCGCTTATTTGGCCCATTAAGCAGTGTGACTTTCTCTTCCATCTCCCTGCCAAAGGATAAAAAGCATTTTAGGAAACAGTAACATTGCCCAAAGCAATTTTCTGACAAGCAGCACAAACAGCCTGCTTTCCTTTCCGATGGGAAGCTGCTCCCTCTTGCAGGAAACATGGCAGCTGTTTGCCAGCTCACAGCAATAGACAGTAAATAGGGCAGAAGTAATGTCCCATAAAGCTACCAAGCTTCCAGGAGAGCTGAGGACAACAAACTACACATATTCCAGAATGGGGCCAACCAATACCCAGATTGCACAAGAATGACCTTAAATGGCTAAACATTACCAGGCTTTGGGCTTTCACCACTGCATATAGCAAGACAAAACTCAAACTTTGCTGACCACCAAGTAAAAGAATCTTGGCATAAAGGACTAAGTCTGCTGGTTCCCAAAGCAACCAATGTGGGATGCAAACAGTCCACCTTTCATAAACAGACACTGTGTGCAGGCTGATGGTCAAACCAAGCTAAAATGGACCATTTTCAATGCAACTCTCTCCAGAAAAGGGAGACAACAAAGGGGGAAAACTTTCTATATTGCATGACGTGTATTTTGAAAGGCCTTGTCCTGTGATTATAGGAGGATTTCTGTGACCCTTCATTCAAAGAGATTTAAAGAGCAGGAACCAGCATTCCTCAAAGGAGCCTCAGAAAGGGATGCCTCAAGGTTCTCAATACAACAGCTTCTAAGGGAAAGGATGCAGAGACCTTTCTTACCATACCCATGCACCAACAGAACATTGGACCAGAAGACAGGACAGCAAGAAGGCACTTCTCCCCTAAAGAGGATGCAGTGTACTTCAATAACTGCCTCACATCAGGCCAAATTAACTTCAGGACATAGCTACAGAAGGATGAACACCGCTAGTCTGCACAAACACTCCTGCTCTCCCTGACACCAGGTTCCAAGTTTCGCGTGAGATCATCTAATTACCTCCTGCGTTTGCTGAGAAGGGGTTGGTCAAGCAATTCATCTGCAGTGGGTCTCTTCTCTGGATCCTAAAAGAAGCAAACAACACGTCATTCCTTGGGAAATGCTCATCATCTGCAACAAAATCTTGAGCCAGAAGACATTACTCAGGCCTGCATGGGCCTCCTTCCCTAACTCCTTTCAAAAGAGAAAGGAATTCATTCAAGTATTTGGGATGAATAGGAATTAATGCCAGGGATGTGCAGGAGGGGCCTCCAGGCTCTGAAGGTATCAATACTGTGTTTGCTTTCAAGAAATTAATTCCCTTCAGACAGACAAAGTCAGAACGACAGAACCTTAAGAGATTGTACTGACATGATGCTTCCACCTCCTCAGCACTGCACCACAAAATAATTGCTTCTGCCAGCCCACTAAGTAATTGTCATCAGAGTAAATCCAGAACTCCTCCAAAGTCTGCATGACTGAATGGCATCTGGAGACAAGGCTCTCAGAGGCCCAGAGGAAACCTTAGTGATGCCTCAGGCCTCACAGAAATTACCCTGCATCAACAGCCCTCATGCTGGAATAGGCATGTTGCTCCCCTTCACCCTGAACACCATGGCTCAGGCAACTGGGAAGGGGTGTCTGAAAATATTAAAAATATTTAAAAATTAAAATTATTTTAATTATTAAAATTAAAATTAATTTACTTATTAAAATTAAAAACATTTCACCAACCTGATCAAGGCAGGAATTCACCATCTGGATCAGTTCCCAGGAGTAGACAGTGGAATCAACCTCCATGGCACGATTTCCCTGAACAATCTTCACACAAAGGTTCAGGGGATTCTAGGCAGAAACCATTGAGTTGGATAAGGTGTCCAATGGGAAGAGATGCTACAGGCCACTATTTTCCTCCTCCTCCTCTGATCTGGACACATCCTTCTTCCCTGCCTAGCAGTTCTCCAGAAACCTAATAATAATTCCTGCAGGAATGGTACCTCTCATAGCTGGGACTCAGTGGCAAAATCCAGCTTTTCACCAGACTCACTAACAGCAGCGTGATGACAGGTTTCTCTCTGCATTGAATCTCCTATGCAGCATATTGCCACACAAGCAGCAAAGTTACTGAGGACTTGGTAGCCATGATGAGAGGAAGTCAGGAAAGGATGGCATTTTCACATTGTCTCTTTAACGGCTACCACATTGTGCACCGTGGTAGCTAGCAGCTCTTCCCATCTCATGGCACAAGCTGGCAAACCATATACGCCAGCCAGCAATGCTTCCTTTCACCCTCCCCATGCCAGCTTGACCACACTTCTCATGCACCCAAACTTTGAGAAAGGGTAACAGGATTAAATCCTATAGCATCAGAAGGCTGCAAGTTTTTGCTACAGAACCCTGCACAGAAAATTCACAGCTAGTAATGCCGGGAAGACAAACCAACCAACCAACCACAATCACAAACTTCCTCCTTGTAAAGAAAAGGACGGTTCACTCACAACCATGATACAGATTAGCACAGCTTGTGTCTGCAGACTATGATGGGTTTGGCAGAAGTTAGAGAGGCACCTGCAGTGCAGGGTAAAAGAAATCATGCAGGCATTTTCTCTGGCACTCCCAGGCCACTGTCTTCTTAATCAACAGATTTAAGCAACAGTGAAAGAAAAACTTGAGCTATGAAAGCCATGGGCCAAGTGTGAATCTCAGGCTGATAAACAATAAGGTTACACAGTCCACCATGGGCTGCAGACTTACAGTAGCATCAAAGGTCCTCTTCAGAGTAAGCAGCTCAAAGATGACACAGCCCACAGCCCAAATATCTGATTTGAAGTTGTATTTCACACCCTGGCAGAGTTCTGGAGACATGTAATATGGAGTTCCCACCAGCTAGGAAAAGAAAACAAAAACATTCAAAAATTACAAATGATCCAGCAGCCTTCAATTCAGGAGTTCTGCATCCATCATGTTCACACAGGCCCATGAGCATCAGAGCTAGATGCAGCCCTGACACTGCACATACGACACACCCCACCAACACGCTGAGGGATGGGAAATAGAAGCACACTTCTTCCCTTCTCATCCACAAGCCTGTGCCTCTGTTTCTTAAGAAGATCCTGGATCTCTGCTCAGCTCCTGATGTGCTACGTACTTCTCAATGAAGTAACAGTGTTAAGAACACAACAAGGACTTGCCCCTCTCTTAAATATACTACATTTAAGAGGTAACCAGGGGCTTACATACTGACCAGGCATGTGGAAACCCTCATAAGAGGTTGAAGAAAACAGGATCTAGCAAAGCTTCCAACCATGGATATGAAGACACACTTACTGATCACAAGGTACTGCCAGAACAAAGGCTACTCTGTCTCTGATGAAAAAGAGGTTACTTCTGCTTCAGTAAGTTAAAAGGTGGCTTGAGTCACACCTGAAAGGCTTTGACTTCAGAAGAGGGTTTTCCAAAACCACTGGTTTAAAACAAACAACCCCCACCATACAAAAAATCCTAAAATCCAGCACTTAATTACTGAAACCTTCCCAGGTACAACTGAAACAGGGACATTGCTCGAGACAGAACAAACACGACAGGTGCAAGAATAAATGTGCAAGATGAACAGAGCTCACTCCCTAGCAAGGAATTAGACAGCAAAGTAAAATGAGAAAGAATTTAGAAGAAGGGGAAATATTTATAATTGCCCTCTTTTCAAGTCTCTCAGCAAAGCTCAGAGGGAAGCTTGCCCTTCATTAGGCTCTTCTAGTACACTAGATACCTAATGGGTACATTCAGAATCTGCTACCTCTCTTCCATTTCCTGTTACAGAGCGTGACAGCACAGAGCTACAGGAGTCCTAGCCACAGGAACATTTAGAAGCACAGTATAATATGGAGAACTAGGACACCGCACCTAAGCCTTGATTTAAACAAAGCATTACATAAGCTTTCTGTAAGACAGACACATATTTTCTGTATCTTTTTTGGTAAATGGAAGAAAGAATGATAAATTGAAAAATCAAAGTTAGTGAGCAAGACATAAACATTTTACAAAACCATAATCTGACTGTTACAAATACGGACAACAACATGTCCTGCACTCATTTCACAAAAGAAGACTCCCAGGCTGCCACTAGTCATTAGATAGCAAACCGAGCAACTAGCCCAGAGCACACGCAGCACATACAGAATGAACGATGATTTAAGACCAGTAGTTCAAAATTTTTCTGAAGTGAAAAAGGGGAAAAAAAAAGCTTGCATGTGCAGATGCACACACAAACCAGGCAAAACCAAACCTGGAAATTCACAGCACAGACCGCATGTTCTCCCGAAGCCAGGTGGCCATGAAAAATTTGACAAAATGTAAGTGGTTTTGCTGCCAGGGCTTTATGCAGTAGCCCCGAGTTCCCACTGACTGTGCAATTATACAGTAGCATGCATGTTCTGGAAGGAGGTTGGCAAGTATTTAACTACACATCCTAACAGAACACCAATAGCTCGCCTGAAATGTAATAATAGGGTCTGGTAAGAGGAAGTGCAAGCTGGCTTGCATCCCAAACTATAATAAAGGCCCCTAGCAGATAGGAGCTTGAGACAATGTCTCCTTTTCCAAGCCTAGAGCTCATCACAGAAATTTATGGAGCTGGGAAACCCAAGCCGAGCCTTTCAGGTGCCTGCAACACAGCTCATCCTGTGTTATTAACTCTGGCTGCAAAAACACTTTCTGGAAGGGTCTGGAATAAAGCCACGCTTGACTGCCTTCTGGTAGAATTAACCTCTCCTAAGAAACCTTTTCCCCCCTCCAAGCGCATTACCAATAGACTGCATCTGTGGTTACTCTAAGAAGCACAACTGCCTTGCTTGCTTTTTTGTAATTCAGCTCAGAATCCAAGGATTAAGAGAGAGAGGAGACCTATCTATGGCACAGTGCAATGACAGGCAAGCACATCCGAACTACCCAAGATTCAGCTGAGGTAAAATACTCCTGTTAGCACAGGGGCATGACCAGATTAATTTAATTTGCTAAGTTGGGCTTAACTCACCCAGAGGAAGAGTGCCATGCTGATATGACTGTACTGCTGTCCCTGCACCTCTGGACAACACTGCCGTCATATAAAGTAGTTTCACCTTTGGAAGTACCAAGCCTAGGTACCAGTGAAAGAAAAGCAGTGCTCTCTAGCATGGCTATATTGGCACAATTCCATGCCCACAAGTGGCACTTATCTTTAGTCTACTACTGATTTGCACAGACAAAAACCTCCAAAAGGCAACCTGAGAACAAGGATAACTTCAGGCTGCAACACACCAGCAATTATGCCAGTGTTAGTGAGGTAACTGAGGGAAACCGAGAGGAGAGTGAAAGGAAAACTACAGAAAACAAGCAGCAAGAATGTACAGCATCTCTGATCTTCTGCAAGGTATGCAGAGATGAAGGAAAAACACACCTCAAGTTTGCACACAAAGGCAGCAGATACTCACAGTCTCAGCCATAGAATACTCAGAGTTCAGCTTCTTCGCCAACCCATAGTCTCCCAATTTAATCAGGTTTGCCTTAGTTAGAAAGATATTTAATGTCTTTATATCTCTGAAAGAAGAAAGAGAAATGCAGACACACCAATATATCTCCAGATTTCAGTTTTCCACACATTATTATACCTCCCCCCAAAACGAGGTACTTGCTACTCTATTTTCTCTTACACACACAGAGCTCTCCAAAGGCAATTTGATCCCAAGTACTGGCGCAGTAACTGTAGTTATCCATATTTTATCAAATCCCTGAACAAACTCAACACAGTCTAAACAGCTCATGCTCCACACACCTATATAAAGGCCACAGATTAAAGATAGCTCTTTCCCCCCTCTCAGTCTCATCTTGTATGAACGTCATTATGCAGTCCTATTTTTCCTGTTTTATAAACAGACCCAAGCCAGGAGTCACTGAGCTCACCAAAAACATAAATGTACGCATGAATATGTAAGTATGCAAATAAAAACACAGAGAGTGTGAAACAGACGACACTCTAGAACATAACATCCCTCTACCTCATGCCTCAAAAACAGCTCTTTACAACATGACGTACTACACCCCGAAAATCAAAACACTGATCAAAAACGCTGAATTCTGAAACTCCTTGAAAACACTTTCTCCCAGACAGAATAATTTATATGTAGTTTCAGAGATCAATACAAGAGGCTGTAAATATGGAGAGGAAGCCCCCACAGTATGATACGCTTCCCATGGTCAACATCTCGTAACACCCCCTTTTCCTAACGTACCAACAACTTCCCAGTGTAGATCAGGACATCAAGTAAAGCAGCACTTTGCATTCATCCACTTGGGGCATCGCAAAGTCCTGGGTCACTCTGACAATGTCTGCAGCAGAAGGAAATCACTGCAAACATTTAAATAACTGTTCAATTTGTTATTATGGAAGGATTTGGGGCCACACAAGTTCCTGGACTGTGAACTGTGCTGTGAAGACGGGCAACAGATGTGGTAAGCAGGAAATCACTGCAAAGCAGGACAGACACAACATCTGCTTTAGGCCAAAAATGTAGGCACTACTTTGGCAAGTGTACGGTACCAACCCTCCATTAGCAAGGCTTCCAACTAGCAAAGATTCAGCAGGGCAGCAACCAGGATGTTATCCCACAAAAAACATCCTCAAATGGCTATGCTCATTAGTTAGAGAAGGATGTTGTGCAGCACACAATCCAACCATGCTGGGAAGAGCTGCCCACACATGTGGTACTCCACAGAACATCATGGCCTCCTTGAAGCACACGAGACATAAAATTTACCCCTCCCAAACAGAAAAGGGCAATAGAAAAAGGTAATTATCTACTCATTGAAATCGCAGTCAATGCCAAAATTACCACTACAAGCTAACAAGATGTATTACTTCCTTAAATAACAGGCCAAAGAAATGAGATTCAGCCAAATGCAGGACAAATCTTCTCAGTGATTATACAACAGCAATGCACCAGTGCAAAGTCTTCATCGGTGTTAGCCTCTAGGAATTACAGACGGACATCCATGTTCGTTTGAAGCTACTTATTGCAGAGAGGATAGGAAGTACCTTTGGCCTGGGATAACTGTTCTTTCTACCCACTTTAGCAAACATCATTTATGTGCTATGGCAATAAAGGGCCAATTTATTTCCTTCCTGCATGTATTAACTCTTTGTTCACAAAGCGGCAGCACCAAAGACAGCAATTTCATCTTCATATATGAAATCTCTTGCACGTTTATCACAAGACTGTTTCCAGCCCAATAAATTCTTTACAGCAGGGATACTTAACATCTAGGCAGTCCAGTTATGCTTTGGAGAGATGCTCAGTGCTTGCTTTAAACAGAGAAGCAAAGGCTACTTAAAGGATTTCTGCACTTACTCCAATGAAAGCACTGATTACCTTAGCGTTACTGCATGCCACGCTTACCTGTGAAGAATTCCTGCTCGATGAATGCAGCTTACAGCTGACGCAATTTGAAAGAGATACCAAACAACCATCTGCAAAGGTAGGAAAAAAAAACATTATTTGAGGTTTGCAAAATCCCAACAAAATACCAAACCCCATACATCCCTGTCACAGAGTCACAGCAGAAAGGCCTGACCGGACCATTTAGATGCTCCCACAGGAGTATGAAAATACAGAATTTCCTGGTTTGGAAATCTCTGAAAAGACATTCCAAAGGTAGACTGTCTTAGTGCCATTCATAGAGTCTGTCCTGACAAGTGTCACAGGATTCAGTGAGTGAAAAGACTTATGAATGACAGCCAACAACCATCTGGGAAAGATCTACAGTTGGGCTCTCTGGCATATGAACTGTAACCATTTAATATTCCCCATGAGATGGAAGGCCTTAAAAGTCATTATGTAAGATAAACAAGAATAATCATTAACCACCTCAGTTTGAGTTGGAAGCAGATAGCAGAAAATAAGTTTAAAAAAGTAGAGAGAAAAAGGAACAAGGAAAAATAAATGCCTATAGTGGGGCAGATTCAAGGTAATTTCTCAGAAAAGAACCTACAAAATGGTTAAGGATAAAGAAAAGTTGAGTACCAACTAGGAACAAACACAGGAAGAAGTTTTACAGTTAAATGTTAGCCAAGATGAGAAGCCGACCAAAGTCAGTTGAGCACTCTCTTTCATTATTCCTCCCTTCCAAGCTTATACTGCTTATGAACAGACAAAAAGGAAAATAAAAAACCTTTTGTTAGTCCATAAATGCTTGCAATGTTCAACAGGAGAGGAAGGAAGTCAGCCCCCAGACGTACACAGAAGTTCCTTCCTACCAGCACCATGGAAAAGATATTGTATACTTGCATAACCAGGCAAATCCCCAGAACATTAGGTCAGCCCCACTGCTCCCTCAAACAAGTCCAGTTACCTCTTCTTCAAATAACTTGTCTTTCTGCCGCAGAATCTTATCATAGAGGTTCCCTCCTGTAATTAGAAGTGAATGAGAAGACAGAGAGGTTCATCTTCTTTAATGGTACCAATTACTCTACTCAGGTACTACTGGGAATACTCAAATCTCCTAAGGGATCTGATGAATCACAACAGCTCTTCCTCAGCACTGCTCACTTAAACTGGTCAGGCACTCACAAAATTAAGATTTTTCTTAAGAACTTCACTGGCGTATCTAAGCTTAAGCAGAGATGATTCTTTCATAACACCACCATTCACTACTACGTGAAAAGTGAATCTGTAAAATAGGCTAGCAATCCCTACTTTTTACCTGTAAGTGCTTCTTGTAATACATTGACAACCTGTACACCAAGTTATGAGAGACTGTCCTGCTCAGCATTATATATAAATATGTAATACATTAAAAAGGAGAAAGAAAATAATTGTAAGTTCAGATAGTCCCTAAAAGCGCAAGCCTTTCCCCACTTACTGCCCAGCTCTGACCAGCCTTTCTCCTTCATCTGCCTTGTCAAACACATCAGTGCAGAATTCGGGAGGCCTTGGCAACAGCGGTATCACTGACAGAAGCCTGGAAACAGCAGACTCTTCGGGGCACCTCACAATTTCAAGATGGCAGACTGAATATCAAGGAGCTAAAAGAAATGATGCTGAGAGCTGCAGGCAGCAAGATTCCTTGTCAGATTAGTATCCTACCAGTAAACCCCAAATCTCTGATCACATCCTGTTGCTATTCCATTTCCCAATTACTGTATATTATATTCTAATACTAACAGACCACCAGGCCCTTTCGTATTCCCACGGGTATGGTGCAAGACAGCTTTCTGCTGTATTTCCATAGGCCTGTCAAGCTGTAGATGTCCAAGCAACGGTCACAATGGCTCCTTTTCCTCCTCAGGGGATTTATTTCCATATTAGTGAGATTTTTCTTATATTCTGGTTAAGATTCCTTTTGCTTAATTTCTTCTCATTCAGCCTTGCTATAACCTCTCAGCATTTCTCTTTTCTGCCTTACGTTCACATTTGCAAATTATCTACAAATCACAGTGACAATTTAACCAAAGTATTCACTTCTGCCTCTTCTTCTGAACCCTGTTCCTAGCAATTCAGGCTATGCAGGCTTTCAGTGAATTCTGTTCATCATCTATTATTTTTTGCCATCTTTTTCACAGCTCTTCTGAACCAGAGCAGAACAACAGGTACTACATTACCAAAATCTTACACAAGGAGGCAAATTAGCTCAACCAATATGTCTACGCACACATACTAAAAGGAACCAATTATTTCTTTAATCTAATCACATCTTACCTTCTTTCACATGGTTCTTTCTTCAGCAAACATATTTGTAGGGTATTTCTTCCCAAATAGATTTCAGATGTATTTACTGATGATATCCCATGATAAATCCAAGTCTTATGGTACCATGATATTTATATATTCAGAACTATAGGCAAATAAATCAGTAACTTGACTTTCTCCCCTGTAAAATGGGGACAAAATCTACTTAAATTTGAAAGTCTTTTCTAAATCTCCAGGAGAGACATGCCAATTAACAGTAAGAACTCTGGATTCTGAGGGTGTCTGATAGTGACTAGTCCAGCTTTCTTTAAAAATGACTTATAAATTATCTTGGACTTGTACACCTTAAGAAAAGTCACATAAACAACTATTAACACATCAGCAGAACCAATACCCATAAGTCTAAATGTGACTGTCTCTTTCTCATGTTTCTAGTTCTGCACCACTTAGGCATATTCAGGCAATGCAGGCTATATACACATCTTGATTGTTGTCCCAGAGTAAAACAAACTGTTTAGAGACATTAGCAAACACGCACACACATCAGTACTATGCAGCTTCTCTCTACAACCTCAAAGGAACTTATAATGGCCCTAAGCATGCAGTCTTTTTCGAAGCAGCTAAATAACTCACACAGAGCACTCCTAAAATAAATGGTGCATCGAAGAGCGAACATTCCCTTATTCTTGCACTGGACTCCACCTTGAATAACACCAAAAAGCAGAGAAGCAGAAACAGCTTTGGTTAACCTGCAAACAGGGTGTTTGACACCCCTCTAGAATGCTTTGCACGACTCCACTGTCCTCCCCAACCTCTCCCAGTGAAAGCAATCTGTTCAAAATGATTACAACATGATGATAGCCACTTCCACCAAAAAAAGTTTCTGCTGATGAGCCAATGCTTAACGTAAACCCCAAGCACACACAGGATACCCAGTCCCACTCATCCAAACAAGAACTATACATCATTTCTAGGTAGGTATTCTGTTCCAGCGGTACCAGCTGCATATGACCTCCTCTTCCAGTTGTGTAAGAGCAGCTGCTACTCACACCTTCACATCAAATCCTTCTACCTCTCCATCTCAGCTAGCACTGTTTCCACTGCAAACTCCAAACAATACCATGTGAATTACTCTTGGATGGAATTTTTAAGTTTTCTCCACCACCAGAAGGACCAGATTTATATATATATTTTTAAGGTAAATGTAGAAGCTGATACCACAACTCAGGAAGAAGTCCTGACTACAGCTTTTTTAAGCTTTGACTTACAATTGCCAAATGGAGGGGTCTATTTAAGTGATGCTACTGAGAAACAGCCCCACTCAACCCAGTACTCTGTATTGGCAGGCCCCAATATCCTCACAGTCTTTTCCCACTGTCCTCCTAAAAGGAGGACAAGCAAGATGCAGTAGAAATGTATATTACCAATAATCCACTTCTTCCACCTAATGCCTGAACTGCCTGCACTAACTACTGGGCATCTTTCTTTGGCACCTGAAACACCAATCAGTCAGAAGGTTTCTCAATCCCATCTTCAGGAGCTATGCAGCAGAATTCTCCCCTGCTCCCTAGAGGACACCCCAGGAATACTCCCTGCAGGTTCTGCAGGAGGATGGCTCAGCAATGTGGCAGCCACCTGTTTGTAGGTGGGATTAGGGGGTCTCACCATTACAGTATTCCAGCTCAATCAGCAGCGTGGTGTTATCCATGAAGTGATTGTAGTACGCGATGATGTTCTCATGCTGCAACAGTGCGAGGATCACGATTTCATTCAAGGCATCGCGACGCTCCTTTTCTGACAGCCGCGTCAGGTCCACCTCCTTCCACACTACAAGTGAGTCATCCTGAAACACAAAAACATCTTCTAATTCAAACCACACCACTAAGAACAGCGTGTGCCTTTACAGCAGGGCATTCAAATTTCAGGAAAGGCAAGAAGATTTTACCTCTTACAGATTTCACACAGAGATTCTTCACAACAGTAAGTTTTAAGGTTTCTTTTTGTTGCTAGGAATAGCAAAGGCCTGAAGCCATCTTTCTAACTGACAAGCACTCCTTTGGGGAGGAAATTCACCAAAGAAGCCATATGACAAGGTTTCCAAGGAAAGACCCAGAGTTTGCTTTGTTTCAATAAAGACTAGACATACTCCAGTTCAATAAAAGGAAAACAGTGTATTTCCAATCCCAATTCTGCAGAATATTGTACCTGGCCGTAAGCCATTACAAGTACCCCAAAATACCCACGTTACCTTAAGAAAAGGAAAAAAGAAACTAGAACAAATTTAGTTTGACCTTGTTGGGCCCATCCACACTGTCAGACACGCTATGAGTGGTCTGCCCAGGGAACAGTGTTTACCTACAACTGTTTTGAGCTGTGTCACCTCAGGGTGGCCTTCCCCCAGGAAAAAGCCTGAAGAACTTTCCTTGGGAATCAAGTCAAATGCTCTTCTCTGACAGCCACTAAAAACCACAACTACAATCAAACTGAATGAGATTAAAGGACTTGGGAGCAATGGGAGGACTGGTTTTTCAGCCAGTTTCCCCTGACTATGCCGAAATGATGATCACACAAGAGAATTACCTGTATGAGATGCCCCCATGTCCTCTGTGACTGGAATGAAACATAGAAAATTGAGGAACCTATTAGCGTCAGAAGAGTCTTCGCATGTCCCTATGAAACTTTAAGGTGACCAAGAGACTGGTGGCACGCAAATATGCCAAAACCCAAACCCTGTGCCCCTCGACACCGAGGGCCGAAGTCACCGCTCCGCACCAGCACTGTTGCGGGGCTGTCACTCGCGGGGGGAGCCCCTCTGCGGCTCTTCAGACGCCGGCGCCTCCAAGCACCCATCCTCCGGAAACCGCCCCGCTCGCCCTGATAGCGGTCCTCGGAGCAGCCCCCGAGGCCCCTTCCTCGGGGGAGCAAGGGAAGGAGGAGGAGGAGGAGGACAGGGCCTCCCTCCCGCTGCCCGGCGGGGGCCCAACCCGGCCCGGCCCTCCCGCCGCCGGGACAGCCTACCTCAGTGCGGCGGTAAAGGGTGGCCTCGCCGAAGGCGCCGCGGCCCAGGGTGCGGATGGGGATGTAATGCAGCTCCTCCTGCTCGCCGGGCAAGCCGCCGCCGCCGCGGGAGCCGCCTCTGCCCGAGGACTCGCTGCCGAAGTCAGAGCTGATGGAGTCGCAGTGCCGCTCGTACTCGCCCAGCGACATGGCGGCGGCGCGGCCCCGCTACGGCCCAGCTCTCCCTCAGAGAGGCCCAACGGGCTCCATGCTGGCTCCCAACCGCGACCCGGAACCGCTTCCTGCCGCCGCGACGACCTCCGCGATCCCGCCTCCCGAGGCCGCCGGGCCCCGCCTGCCGCGAACAGCTCCAAAATGCGCTGGAGCCAGGGGTGTCCGGTACTGGTGTCCGCAGCAGCACAGGGCATCGTTGGAACCGAGAACGAAGCGCAGGCTGCCGGAGCCTCCTCTACCTTTTCTTCCTGCCCCTTCCCGCCGCGGCGAAAAGCCTGCACCAGTGCCTCAGGTCTAAGCAGAGACGTTGTTTTACTTCCCTACAAGTCAGGAGTTCAAGGTTATTTTCCTTAAACGCTTTCAATTTATATTTCGGTAATCAAAAAGGTCAGGTTGGACAGGGATTTGAGCAACGTGGTGTAGTGGAAGGTGTCTGTGCCCATGGCAGGGCTGTTGGAACTGGATGATCTTTAAGGTCCTTTCCAACTCAAATCTGTGATTCTATGATATCTATGGAAAACTGCCTGAAGTAACTGATTTCCATTAAAAATAAAAAAAAAAAGAAGTCATTACTGTTTCTTAGCACACAGATATTACTTTTTCTTGTTGCTTAACTGTACCACACACTGTATGCATTACTGAAACACCCCAATAAACACCACGGCTGTATCCCAAGCTCAGAGGTCTGCTGGGAAGATGAAGGCACCTGCAGTGGATACACATTTCACACCATTAATAAAAGATAGCAGTGCCCCTTACCATGACACTCATGGTTTGTGACTTTTCCCTCTAGATGGAAACTTCAGAAATAACATATCTGGAGCTGCCATAACTTCTCTGTTGTAAAGAAGTACTAGCAACATTAGTCTTCAGTGAGCGACTGATTTTCTTCAGAGATCATCATCATTTCAATATTTTGTTTTCAAAGGCCAGCAGCACAACCACAGATGGGAAAGCAGAGTTGAACAATGGAGAATGTTCACCTCAGAACACGGGTTCTGACATTTGCAGGAGATGGCAGGAGCTGAAGAAGAAACCCCTAAGAACAGGTACAACAAAGCCCAGTTAGCTCTTATCCCACTACCTGGGGAAGACACTTTATTGCTCAGAGCATGAAACAACAGGCAGAGTTCCTTACAGTGTGAAGAAGGTTAAAGAGCTGTTCAGCATGATATGATCCTGTTTTGAAAGTAATTTACCCATCAAAATTCATTTGCTGTGCATCATAACTATTTCTGTACAAAGATGTCCTTCCAAGCAGCAAAGACAGCATGTCAGTTTTAGAATGAAAGGGTTTGCAGGAACATACGAGAAACCTCAGACACGCTAAGGATTTATCTCCACTGTGAGGGGAGTACCTGGATAATAATAATAATAGTAATTGAGATGGCAAAATCTCACAGAAATGGGACTAAGGAATCTGGACCAGTTGTAGAAAACCAGAATAGTAATTGAAAAAGGTCAAGCTTCATTTTTCCAATTTGAAAAGTAGAGTTATCTCGTCAATTTCATCTACAATACTACACAAATACTCCCATAAAATTATCACAGTAGCAGCTACAATCAAGTTTACCAACCCCACAGTGTTGCCTTTACTACACTTTAAAATGCAGGGCAGTAACTGCCACAGTAAAATTGTTCCTAAGTTTTTACTGAGCATCTAAAGAAATTACACCACCTAGAGGCAGTGTGCCATTCTGCCTCTTACATGAACGTAGCATGAATTTGGGTAAGGGTAGGAACACTTTAAAGTTATTTAAACTAAATCGTAGCAACTACCTGCCCTAGTTCAAAGATCTCATTCATGGTTTTCAGAGTTAAGACAATATATTGATTATATTACTAAGACAAGGAAAGAGAAGCCCACGCTGGAAAGTAAGAAGTGACGAGGCATCTACATAATTAATTATAATTAAGAAACACCACGAGATAGCAACTACCTTACAGATGACAGAAGATTATGCAAACAACATATATTGAAGGGGAAATAAAAGACCAAGCAGCTGGTATAGGTGAGAAAACCCTAGAGCGTTAAAGCTCTGCAGCATATCAGACGAGAGCTGTAATGTGAGCTGGAAAATACTAGCATGCCCTCCTCTCTGCTTGCCTCACCTGCATGGTAGCTGTAAGAACAGCATCCCCAAGTAACCAAGAAAGGCCAATTTCATCTCATTACAATTCCAACAGAATGTCCTGGTGCAGCTTATGCAAAGACTGTATAATGTGTCTGACTTGAAAGCTCAGGGAAAAGATACCTCAGGAATATCAGCCCTGAAAGGAAATTGACAGGAAACCACAGCAGTGAGACAGAGCAACGTGAGCATGGTTTTGTCATTACCTTTTTTGAGTAACATGCCCCCAAAGGAAGTTATTCAACCTGCACATTTTATTGCAAAAACTGAAATAAATGTCAGATGGGTCCTTCTGGATATGGCAGCTTTTCCCAAACATGAGCTAAATGAACGATCCTCGTAACAAAGATCACTGGAACACACCTGGAGATCACAGGTCCTCTGGCAGGCTGTGTCAGCAAGCTGGAAGTGCACAAGCTAATGCCTTAAGGTGGTAAACCACATGGACATCTCGCAACAGGAGCAACCAGGCATCTGTAATAGCCATTTTGGAGAAAGTTTGAGTCTCTTCAGCTGCAGCTGAAACAGAGCAACTCCTTGTCCTTGCCAGTGCAAAGCAAAACAGGCTTCCTTCAAACACTGCTGGGCAAAGGCAAGTGTTTTAGTGTTACAGCAAAAGCTTGGGCTCACATGTTTCAAGTTAATAAAAAGGTCCAAGAAATGCTGACAGGCAGTTTTTCCCTTAAATCCTCTGCTCCTTCCACCTTCCCCAGAGAAGGGCAGCCCTGCCAGAGCCACCACACTGCCAGCAGTAGTAGTCGAGGGGAGGAACAACAGAATAATCACATGCCTGGCAAATTTTCCAGGTGAAGGGGCAGCAGACGAAACTTCCAACCCTGAACTCCTGCAGTCTTCACCAGACCCTGCATTTTTCTCTTGTGATAAACATACCCATGTCAGGTTTGTGCTCTTTCCTTCCCAAAAAGCCACCTTCAGCATGTGGGAAGTTAATTTCCCAGAGACTTTGTTCACTAAAGGCAAGGCCTTCCCAGGCAGCTGAAAGACAAAGTATAGCAGAGGGATACAGGTAAAGATGAGAGAGACAGAAATACATCCCATGAACTGGCAGGGGTGAGGAGAAGCCACACTGCTTTCTCAAACCTCTGCTGTAAGACCGTGTGCAGTGCACAGGCAGGAGTCCCCCTCATGGTCTCACCAGCCAGTTGCCAAACTAGTTTGAGTTGTAAGTCCCTAATGTGCCAGTCAGGAAACAACACAAGTGGTGGGCTGTTTCTCACATACCTGAGCAGCTTCTAAGAAATGAGCAACAGAGTGTGTAAAATGCTTATCCCCTCACATGTGCACACAGACAGCTGCAGCAGGTACTTTGTACAGGGTACAGCCTATGCTGGCATTGCAGGAGGGGGAATACACTGAGATAAGCCTTACTCAGGAATGTTCACTCGTGGTATTAAGTAGTGTGATAATTACATCGTTAGTCACATTGGTAAGTGGGTGGAAGAGGCTGGAAACGTCTGAGGCAGTTTGCTACAGGCAGTTATAGATTTAGCAGTGGTGCATCTGTCACACACAAAGATGGGCTCAGACCCAAGTATCTGCAACAGTTCATCTTTAACCTGCTTCCCAGAAGTGAAATGGAATGAAGACACTAGCTCTGCATGCAGAGTGCTGTAAAACAGCCCAGACACACCACAAACCTACCGCATGACAACAGCTGTACAATTTCACATGCTCAAACATTCATTCGTGAAAGAACTTGCAAAGGCTAATCCTTATCCAAAGATCTGGGAATTTCCCTTCTTTAAATCCTCCCTGATAATACTAACAAGTTACGTAGCACTCATGTGCCCAGAGTCCTGTTATGTGGCATATGTTACTTGGTTACTGCATGACCAAAGGCTCACAGGCTCAGCAGAGATCTGACGGCAGTCCAGTAAATATTTAGCCACTCTCTTCAGTGAGCATGTGCCCCTCACACATGCCCAACTCATCTTTGCAACAACTTAAAATTCCCATTAAAGCACAAACCCAACAGTTAATTCCATTTGTCTTAAGGAGCTGATGGAGAAACCCAGGATCTGTGCTCTAGAGCACCAGCCCTGTTTCACTATCAGCCTCTAAATTCCTCCACATAGAGGTATGTAACTGCAAGGAGGGGAAAAGAAAGGCAACAAATGGTAACCTGAGACACCTCTACTGTGCTGGTCGCACCCAGCAGAGAAGCTGGAACAGCCAGTAGGTTTCCAAAGCCTGGAATTCTCAAAACTCCTTTGAAATTTGTGGCTCCAGAAACCCAAAGGCTTGCGAGGGGGGCTGCATACTGCAACACGTCAGCTTGCACAGGAACGTGCACAGACTCACACAGACAACCAAGGTGGGTTGGTTCTCCCAAAAGAAACTTTATTTGAGAAAATTGACAAAAATCCCCCAACCATTACAGTTATTACAGGTAAATCCACACCAGCCCCCTCACCTGCTCCCCAGTAACCACACTGGTACAGTGGAGATGAAAACGTAACACCAGGACAATGATAGTGTAACAGTCACCTGGGGAACTTAAGGCCTCACCACCATTTTTAAGATAAAGATATCTCTGTATTCAGATAAGGACGGGGAGAGCATATCAAAACAGTTAAATCTGGAAAAGTCCCTTTCTTGTACTGTCCTTTCAAGTTATATAAAAACAAAAACAAAACCTTAACAGATCTCAGGCTTCAAACTGTAGGACCTAAAACTACCTTCAAATGACTTCTGTAATTCACTCTGGTGGCATCGCTGCTGTTCTGCACTGTAACAGCTTTCAAAATGTACAAGGATAAACTCGGATGCAAGGGCAAAGGAGAGGACTTGGGTTCTTAATATGGCTTTATCAAAAAAGAAACAAATTAAAAGCAATCTAAGCACTTGCCAGTGGAACTAAACTCCAGGAACTTGGCAATGGCAAATGGAGGCAAAGTACTGATGTATTTAGATGACAAGAAGTCATCTTTCCATCCTCTTT